GGACTGACAGCATTCACAGGACTGACAGTATTCACAGGAAACTCCCGCGTTTTCTGACAACTCGGTTTCCTGCAGGAACAAACTGCAACATGTGCCGATGCGCTGGCTGGCGACATCCCAGCCAACTTGCAGGCATGCAGGGTGTCTCTGCTGAAGGGAGGCGTCACCAGGCGGCTGCGACTGGCTGGCCTGGCTGCCATACGGATGCATCTGCTTTGCGCCTATAGACAGGGTGGGGAGCCTCACAGAGACATGGGTGTTTTCTCAGCACCAACATGGTTTCTGTGTTAAAATGATAAACTACTTAGTCATCAGTCCGATGGTTTGAAGAACAAATCCATAACCGTGACAGAATGCCACATTGCTAAATAACTCATTCAAAAGCTTATCTGTAAATCAGTTATATAAAGTTGAAAGTTGATATACCGGATAGAACCCACTTTATTAGGTACACCAAGCTAGTACCGGATAGGACCAGCTTTATTAGGGATACCTCACGAGTAGGGTCTACTTTGTTAGGTACTCTTAGCTAGTTAGGTAGTACCAGATAGGACACACTTTTATCTCCGTAACTATTGCAATGGTAGACCAGTTGTATGTTCAGTGAGCCCTTTCTGCAAACCTCTGCTATCCTGAGCTGTTCTGAGCCTAACCTGCCATTCTCCTGTGACGTCTCTCAATAACAGGATGTTTTCACTCTCAGCAATGCTGCAGATGGATGCATTCTCTTCATCACGCAACTTTCTGTTACCTCTGGCAATGCAGTGTGCGAGAGTCCAGGAAAGTGGCTGTTCCTGAGTTGCTGGAGCCACTTTGCCTGGTGCCAACGGTCACATCACATTCAGAATCACTCAGATCACGCGCCTTAGCTGCTCTAATGTTACGCTAACGCTCACCCCTGTCTATGTGATTCTGTATATATGCAGCTACAGGTCTCCCTAATGCTAATAAGCACTGCTCATTTTTAGTGTGATTCAGAACTGAAAGCTTCACAATAAAACTGCTCCCTGTCTTAGATGGCTGAATTTGTTATGCCACAGTTAAAGAAACAGGGACCAGGTCAGAGGTTTATTTTGCTTGACCACAGCATGAAGGGAGGATTTATTTAGTCTTTCACGGTTGCTTTCTTGACAGCGTCAAAATACTACACGCAATTCTGCACTTTTAAAAAACTCTGATTAGTAAAACCAAACATCTGCTCCTGTCGTCATTGTCACGTCTAAACCCTTTGTTGAGTTACACCCACTGGCTCACCTGGAACCTGCCCACAGGTACTCAGCACATACCTTTACCATTTTGGCTGAATTTACGTGCTGTCTGGGCGTGGGCCTGTCTGACAGTATAACCCTAACCCTCAAATAGAGGCGACGACTGGAACATAAATATTGCTCAGAGGAACAGCTCCAAGCAACGGCCACCTGTTTCCATTCGTGAGCAACCAAGCCAGCATTCATGGTAAGGAGCATCTGACGATTCCTTCTTGTGGTTACGAGGGCTCTTATCAGCACTGTGCTGTCATGGGTGTTTTGCTCTTCAAATTTCTGGTTATTAATTAGGTTGTAACACTTTATAAATTAGTAATAGACAATGTTAAACAAGTTATAACACAGTTTTCTTTTTATTAATGAGCCTTATTGTAAAGTGGTCCTCAAATGTCTTTAGCAGAATCAGATACCAACTGCAGCAGATACAATTGTAGAAAGGTTTTGATTACAACTGTGTATTGGATTCATGGATGTAGCAGATGAATGGATGGATGGATGGATGTCAAGACGGATGCAAAAACGGTATCTTATGCTACTTTTGAAGAAGATAAGTGAAAGGCCACTTCACCAAAGCTGTCTGTTCCTGTGGTCTATTCAGACTCTGCATGCATACTGTATGTAGTGGATGTGAATTTTTCAGTAAGCCAATTTTTGTCTGTAGAAAGAAAATAGCTACAATACCAAACAACAGAAATGTATTCTTTCCATACTATAAAAAAGTATCTCATGAGAAGTGAACAAGCTATTTTTTGTGACATCTTGCACCTGTTCCAACAATTTTCTACGACTCAGTGCGAATTCCAAGATATCTGAGAGTCAGCGAAGGGTATTAGTGTGGGAACCGATAAGGCTGGCGTGGGTGTAGAGAAATTTTGGAAATGGATCCTTAAAAGAGGTACCAGCATTGCTTTTTGAGGAGGATGGTGGATGAGGAGAACATAGCCCCCCCCCCCCCCCCAAATGTCCCTCTCACTCGACAATATCAGGAAGTAGGGAATGAAAGACTTTATTATTTATTTATTCATTATTATACCTAATCTACTGTACATTCCGATCTCTTCATTGATCTTTTTAAGTGTGTTACAAACAAAACAATGTTAATCATGTAACAGGGTGCAAACGGATGCCCTTCAAGGGGGGTGACAAGATTTTCTCCCTAAGTTAACAGGTGACATACAGCATCTGTGAAGTGGGTGGGGGGCACCTAAAATTCTACTGTTTTCAGAGCAACACCCTCAGCCCCACCCTGGCAGTGAATTGGAAAGCCAAGGTGCCACCCCCTTTAATAGCCAGGCTCCTCTCTGCCACGCCCCGTGATTCTGGGTCCAGCAGTTTCACACTCGCCTTCACACATGCCCAGGCAGCACGTTTACTTGTTCGACGGTGACTTTCACCAGTGATGATGTCACCAGCCACAACCCAGAGTCGGAGGTTAATGTTCTCACAAGAAAATTTGTGCATCATTACATCACTAGACCATCACCTTCCATGGGGGTCACCACGACTGTGCGGTAAAGCAGGTGTTGCGTATGGTATTTTACAACAAGGGCCTGTTTCACAAAGCAGGATTACTTGCTTAGCCAGATAACTTGCCAGATTTAAGGTAGTCTGGGCTAAAAGTAAGTTGATGAAAATAAGGTCTATTTAGCCCAGACTACCTTAAATCTGGCAAATTATCTGGCTAAACAAGTAATCCTGCTTTGTGAAACAGGCCCCAAAAATGCCTGTATAAAGGGCACAATGCAATTTGAAGCTGTATCAGGCACTGTAGACACAAGCAAATAAATAATTCATTCATGTAACATTATCATCACTGTGCCACAGCACATAATGAACAGCCCATTTAATTGAGTGTGACGCAGCCGTGCAGCCAGTTAGCTGAACGTGCAAAGGAAAGCATTGTAAGTGTTTGTTTGGAGAACAAATTACAAGGGAATTCCAGTTCACACCAATGTACCATGTGATTTTTTTAACAGAACTGGCCTATATTATTCAGCTACTAGCTATTCTGAACATAAACTATTAGTTGACTGGAAAGAAAAGCAAACTGGTTCAGTTAGCCCAAAATTCTCTGAAACATTTTATATGACAATTTCCAGAAATAGGTAACGTGCCCCAAACCTATCATGATCAGGTCAGATTAGGGTGGCGACCTAAACGTCATGATGGTAAGACATAAAGATCTGCAGGAGAGATGTTCCTTCAGGAAATCTTCATTTTAAGTTTCAGGATACAGGTTAATGTGCATGTGTTTGGGGAGGACAGACATTTTTATGTCACAATTGTGGGGGCGGGGGGGGGGGGATAATTGTGCAGACAGCAATGTGTTACAGTACATACAGCAGTGAGATATAGGACAGACAGCAGTGTGATACAGGACAGAACTCAGTGCGATGCGGGACAGACGGCAGTGTGATACAGGACAGACGGCAGTGTGATACAGGACAGACGGCATTGTGATACAGGACAGACGGCAGTGTGATACAGGACAGACGGCATTGTGATACAGAACAGACGGCGGTGTGATACAGGACAGACGGCATTGTGATACAGGACATAAGGCAGTGTGATACAGGACAGACGGCATTGTGATACAGGACAGACGGCAGTGTGATACAGGACAGACGGCAGTGTGATACAGGACAGACGGCATTGCGATACAGGACAGACGGCAGTGTGATACAGGACAGACGACAGTGTGATACAGGACAGACAGCACCACAGCATTGCAATGAGAAGTGACAATAAATATACAATAGACAGATGGCGCCTTGGGGGAAGATGTGCAAATAGCCACAGAGGAAGACGGTTCTGATAAAGAGCCTAAGTGGAACATGGGCAGTGGAACATAACACTGTCCAATAAAAACAGAGGCAGATGCCTGGTTGTTTAGCAACCTGATGGCTTGGAGGGGGAAACGGGTGAATTGGGTGGTGATGCACTGGTAGCGTTCTTGGGAGGGCAGGAGTGTGTGAGCTGGGTGGCTGGCTGGCATCACAGATGACGGACTCGGCCCTCTTCTGGCACCGAAGGAGGTAGATGGATTGTGGGTGAGGAAGATCAGCACAGTTAGAGGTCCTGAACAGTTAGGTTACTCGTGATGACTATAGGCTTATTATAATATTCAATAAGCTTAACTAGAAGAGGGAACTAACCATTGGAGATGTAGATTTAATATATGAGGCTTGTGTTCCTGTGTGCATGAAAGTATATAATTTTATCAGATGTGTCTATAGCAGGCCTGGGTAATTATTCAAACAGGGCTGTGTTTACTGTTTACTCTCATGACTCATGGAAGCTGCGACAAAAGACTTGGTCTTTGAATGCTGTTATGGAAGTAGCAATTATTTATGTAGTTATCCATTTCACAAATGACAGTTATTTGTGATCCCTCTGTGACACATAACAGTCATTTCATAATTTATGGACCTATTGATTGTCGGGTAAAAGCTAGAAAAGTCATAAACGATCATGTTTAATTCATAAGCAACCAGGGATATTTAATGATGGGAAAAACGTTTGTTGGGGTCGCACAAGGAATAATAATAATAATAATAATAATAATAACAATAAATAATAATAATAATAATAATAATAATAATAACAACAACAAAAATAATAACAATAAGGTTCCAATGCACTACGTGCTTTGGACCCTTAATAAACAATAGAGATTCAGCAACTACTGTATACTGCTTGGACAGCTATATTCTCTTGACTATTACAGAGAATACCGGGATAGATCCAACCTGAATCCCCGCCCAGCTTTAGTCACCAGCATACAGACCGACGCGCATTTAATAGCAAAACGGAGCCGTGCGTAACAGTCCTGTGGGGACGTCTTACTGTGCTGGTGAAAAGAAATCAGACCTTCAAACAGCACTTCCATATCTTGGTGAAAAGACGGAAAACTTGGAAATTCAGCGGAGCTTAAACTTTTAAAAGTGCTTTTTGTAAGCAGGGAGTCTGCACTGCTAGACCGGAGTGTCGCACCGAGCCGGAGCCGCAATGAGCTTCAGCGCGGCCGCTGAGAAGCCCTTTCTCTCCACCCTACAGCCCAAATCCCCCGTCACCACCTATGCCATCCCCTCGGAGTTGCAGCTGGGATATGCCGGATCCGGGGCGGACCAGGAGGCGAAGAAAAGCCGGGTGCAACAGCAGGTCCACCTGCGGATGGCGGAGAAGTTCAGCAGCACCTTGCCGCAGATGAACCGCACGGCTTCGTACACGACCACGGGTGAGAGCCGCTCCCATCCTCGGTCTCCGTCTCAGCGACGGGAATCAAGGTGTTAAGGCGCTCATCTGCCCTCTCCTTAACTCCCATGTGTGAATGCAGCCTTTGTTTGATGTAAATGCGGAAGAAAGGAATTCAATATCATAACTGTGTGCTGAGTGGTGATGGAAAGGGCAAACATATTTCATTGCGCAGCGGACCTAGCAATCTCTCTCACAATTTAATTTCTGTAGCCTATAATGACTGCTAAAAGCCCGGGGAAATAATAATAATAGGCTAGTAATTATTATGTGTAATAATTATTATAATTATTATTATACTGTAAATGTCGTATCACTTTTGAATGCTTTAACGATAAAGTGATTAAAGTCAATTTGTCAGTGTTTGCTGGTGTTTCCACATCGGATTATCAATTTGTTTGGATCTTTATCCAAAGTAAACTAAAGAAGAGCAGACGGATTACATTCCCCACAACCCACAGAACATGAAATCTGGGGGATGTTTAAAAATCAGAATGCTAGGATAAATACTGTGTCAGGCTCTTTTTTTTGTAGTTTGAATGGGAGGAATGCGAGCCTAAGACCCTGAATGCGGCTGTGAACTTTCTAGAGTTTTTGCTGACATGCTGTGGGAATTTGTCTTTCAGTGCAGAGCGGATTATTCCAGAGCAATTACTGTTTCAAAATGGAGTAATTACTTCACTGTACATATACTGTATAGCTTTCACACACAGAAACTCGCCCAGTTGTCCCCGAAACAACTACTTTCAAGCACAAATGCCCAGGTAGAAGGTACTTTACATTATAGCTTGAAGAAACTGTGCATTTATTTTGTTCTAAAAGTACCAGAAATGAGGGGAGTCCCGCTCACCTGTCCTGTTTTGTCTCTTTAAAAAAATCCTGCGCTGCTTTTTAAACATTGCGCAAAAACAAAACCTGACCTGTTTTCGGGAAATATGCCTGATCCGTGTCATGTTTCTGTTAACTTATCTTTTTAATTTGATTTTCGAGCCTCAAAAACATGAACGCTTCTGTTTCAGAAAAACTGGTTTCCCTTTGAGAACCCTGTTGAATATGCACCTTGTGTTGTGAACGATGATATAGTTGTTTATGAGCTGAAATAGCAGCTAACATAGGAAAGGGGAATCCTGTTTATTCCCGACTTAATGGGCGGTTTGTCCCGTTGTGACAATACATGCCCTTGAAGTGCGTCTGACTGTAGAACTGTCAATTCAAAAAGACTTCATGTTATTAAATCAGCTATAGATTTTTCCCTATTAATCCTGAAACACCGTAAAATTCTCAACCGCAAATCTTGCCTAAACAACAGTCCCTGATACTCAGCAAGTCAAGCCTAAAAATTTGTACGTTTTTATCACTTGAAAATTTTCTTAGAAACAGTCTCCATTTCAGACCCCTAGCACCGTGTTAGGTCTATTTTGCAACCAACCTCAAAGAATCCCTAGACTACTCATCATTTAATATTATACATTGCACTTGATATTTTACTTATTTACTCAGGTGTACTGTTTTTTGTGAAAGGTTTGTGACTTGGCAAACTTGTGGATGGATGGGTTTTCTTGACTGGCCCAAAGATAAATATTTAAATGCCTGGCACATTAATAAATACAGTATTAATGAATCAGTCAAACAAATAAATCATAAGTGGTTTTTGCACACGATGTGCTCCCTTCAGGCCGAGACACTGAACATCCTGGTCTGTTGTCACACACAGTGTTTCTGAACAAGGAGGGCTGGTGTCTCTGACTTAATGAGACAGATTGGACCCTGGGAGTGGCACTCCCCCATAAAATAACCTCACACTTCTGTGCCCGTGAGATCCCAGCAGTAAATGCTGTGTGTCCCAGGCTTAAGCAGCTGCCCATGGCCCCGTCCAAGGCTCCCAGGCTGTGTTCTACCAGCTACATAAGCTGCCTGCCCTTGTTGTTCTAGCTGAGCCCAACTTGTTCTTCTGGAGGTCGCCCCGGGGACCTGGAACACAATCCCAGGACGTAGTGGGTAATGGGACGTAATCCCCTACTTGTACGGCGGCCGCCACTGGCACCCCCCAACTAGGACCTCTGTGGCTTATTTTCTCTTTATTTGATCATAAAAGGTTGAAAGTGAGAGAGAACATAATTTAATCGGAGGCATATAATGTTACACCAAAAAAGTGTTGTGTCGTTAGGTGGATTTAGGTCTTCTGTGTTATTGATCTCCTTGCACTTTTCTGGGGAGTTTCTTCCCTCTGTCCGTTTCTGTTGGGATCCTGAAGTGTGTTTGTACTGGGATGTGTGTCCCTTTGCGAGGGTCGCTGTCCTTATCCTCTCTTCTGGCCCCCCTGGCTCTCAGCTCTTATCTGGCGTCGCTTCTAAAGCAGGACACATTCCAGAACAAGCTCAGTAAGCTTTCTCACATGTGCAGAGCGATTGCTGTCAAGCCCCGGATTGGGCAGGGAGAGGCCCAGTAAAGTGCTGGCAAAGAACAAAACCAAAACACCTATAATTTCAGACCTGCCCATTACTATTGTAAATATACTCATACTGCAACTCCTATCAGTGAGGCTGACATGCCTAAACAGTGTTTTTTTTTGGCAAAATATCGTAATACAGGAAGGACTTCCTATAACTGTCAGTTTAATGACATCTTAGGCGAACTGGCAATCAGCTAACATGTTGAATTAAAGTTAAAGTTGGAAGCAGCAAATTATACAAGAATAACAGCAATAATAACAACAACAACAATAATGCATGAGATGCATGAGAGCATTGCAGGCTAATTTAAACGAAAAAGTAATTTACAAGCTAATTAATTAACCCTTGATAAATTAGCAACTGTGTCTAAATTTTAATGGCTCGGTTTGTATTGGTAGGAATCATTTGGGAGCTGGATTCAAGCGATTAGCAGCTGTTAGCTGTCATTGCGGCGCTGGTGAGGCTGACGGTTTGGGGCTCTGTACCTGAACCGCAGCCCCTGGCACAGCGACCCATCTCAGCTATGCAGCTCCGCTAGGTGGGCGTGGCTGTAGCCTCCCCAGGCATGATGGGACACGATGTGCCCTCGATTCACACAAAATGCAGGGAGGAGTTGGGTGCGCCACTTTTTCATTGTTCCTTGCCAGTGCAACAATACTGGTGACTGTTAGAAGGTGCAGAGCCACCTCAGCCTGGGGAACGGAACCAAGGAACCATTGAGGGCAGCCGCCATGTTTGCCCACCCACTGAGCCACACACCACACCCTTGCGGATTTACACAATACGAAGCATTTATCTCGGCACTCCTACGTGGCCCAGGGGTTTAAAACCCTGGACATTACTTCTGATTAATTAAAGGCAATTTAGCTCTTTTTTTGACTGATGTCTGGCAAAGAAATTCGACGTTTTATACGTTAGCCGTTTTCTAACAAGTCCTTCCTGCTTTCTTCCGTAGACTACGGCAACTCCACCTCCGTGAAATATGCCACCTACAAGCCCTCGTTCACCACCAAGTCTCAGATGGTATCTGGAAACCAGACTGTAAGTGCGACTCGGCCTCCTAAGCATTTCTCAGATGTTTGCAAAGCTCAGTTGCTGACCCCATAACACCCAGTGCAAAGTCACTGGTCGCCATGGTCACAGGCACACGTCCACTTCTGGCCTAGCATGGCTGCTGGTCTTCCTTGAAGTCATGTGACTTGCTGTTGGGATTAAAGGTCCAAAACCAGAGATGGAAATCCAGATGTCTGAGTTTGTTTTCATCCTACTCCAATCTGTTGGTCCAATTCATTGTTATTTATTTGTGTCTTTTATACAAAACAATGGGATTAACATGAAAAAGTGCAGGTTCTTACAATGACCATGCACATCTTTAAAAGTAATTATGCTAAAATCCCAGATCGAGAAACTACATTTTTACTAAAGTAAAGCACTATATATAGATCTATATAGTGATTAGTAAGTGAGTAGTTTTAATATACCCCATCTTGGTGTCCACAGAGGTGCAGACACGTGCATATGAGGTCTTGGAGTGGAGGGTCAGCCAGCGTTCGGAGGCCCTTCAGCAGTTTGGGTTAAGGGTCTTGTCCAGAAACCACAGGATTCAAAACCAGAACCGTCCAGTCAGGGGAACAGATTCCTAACCAGCTGTACTATACGCCTTACCTAGACTCCGACCGGAAAAGTTTTAGTAAAACATGCATCTGTGCAACTAGATAAAGGATGTAGAAATGTAGCGTAGAAAAACGTTTGACAGGAAATGATAATAACAATAATAATGTCTGACGGAGTGGTATTTGGAGTGCTGGGGCACTGAGGTATTTCACAAGGGGCCTCCACATCTCGCTGTGAATATTCCAGAATATTTTGTGGTGTGGCTGCAGCAGTCACGCAGGAGACTGAGCTAAGCTAAGCCGGCAATGTGGTGCAGGTCCTGGAAGCGTGAGTGGCAGCATTATGGTGACGGTATCTCGGGACGGCACAGTGAGCAGGATCACACCAAACGGGCCTTGGGTGGAGCCTGACATGTTTACTGGGGACGGGATGTAAGTAAATACATAAAATAAGGAATTCGATCTGGCTGCGCTGGGAGGAAGAAAAAACAAACTCAACCATGTCAGACATAGACAAAACAAAGGAGGAATTTTGCTGATACTGGTCTTGGAGATGAAGCCGTTCTGGGTTACAGAGCGATGGACAAACCCGAGGTGAGGTCATGTCCATGTGTGGAGTGAAGGGTGTGAAAAGGATTGACTCCAACATTTAACTGTGAATCTCAGTTCTGCACAACCTGCATCATGACTGATCAAGAAGCATGTGTTGAAATGGAGAAGTAATCCATGCAGCTGAGGTCTGGCGTGTTTGGGATGAGTGATCCTAAAGTCCACCGGTCCTCTGTTGTGGAATTTTTGGAGCTCTTTACAATTTCCTCTGTCTAAGCTTTCGGGAACTGTGCTCTTGAAGGACTGCAGGTGTAGAATAGCTGTGATGCAGTTATTCTGTCTTCAGATCCGGCGAATGTACAGCGTGAAGGTCCTGGATCGTTCCCATTGAACTATCAAGATGAAGTCACTGCACTATTCCTGAACTAAAAACCAGTTTCTAACCCATAATTATCCAAAGAAACAGGTCAGCTTACATCTTAGTCTAGTCAACTAGCTATTATCACCTCTTATTTAGCTGTCTGTTCAAAGTGTCTAATTAGTGACCAAATAAATTAACAACATATAAAGTGAGTGTCTTATACAACAGTGTAAATAGCTTCAGAGGCACAGTACTTGGTACATTAGGTATCTGGATGGGTCTTTCCCAAAGATAGTACATAAGGGGACTTATTATGAAATCTTTTGCCATGCTCGCGTAGAACAAAGAACCATAAAAGCTGACTCTGTAGCCCTAGAGGATGCTACGCTAATAAGCTTAAACCAGGATTCTTCTCTGGCAGATTAACAGGGTGCCACAGTACAGCTCGCGCTCTATGGTGGAGATGGACGCTCATGGGGGTAACAGCTTCTACCAGAAACGAGCAGGGACCATGTCCCCAGCCTCCATGAGGCTGCAAGGCCAGTCACCGGGCTCCGCCTTGACGAACATCGACTTCCTTAACGGCAACGTGGGGTACGACGGCGGCACCCCCCTCCAGCGCCAGTCCGCTTATGGGGAGAACGGCTTCTCCATGCAGTCGGCCAAGTCGGGCCAGATGAGGACCATGCAGCGGAGTCTGAGCGGGACGCTGATCGGGAGTGGCATGGTTAACGGCAACATGGGCGGCAACATGGGCGGCACCATCGGCAGTGGCACCATCGGCGGGGGCACCATCGGCGGGGGCACCATCGGCGGGGGCACCATCGGCGGGGGCACCATCGGCGGCATGGAGCAAACCCAGCAATACTCCTTCAAAGGCCCCGCCTTCCGCACCCTGACCCGCATCAACCGCGTGTCCCGGCCCGGGCCTCCCCCAGTGCAGCAGATATCCTCTGGAGGCACCATCCAGCGCTACTCAGAAGGCTTCACCAATCATGTGGGGCAGACGGTTGCGACGCCGCAGATCCTGATGCAGCAGCACAGTGGCTGCAGCCTCCCCCGCAGCGGCTCCGCGAAGAGCCTCACCAGCCTAAAGGGGGCCGACGTCTTTGATGGCGCCATGGACAATGGACCAGGATTTACTGGGTGAGTTGCTGATGGGGGCCCGAACCGCACTGGTCAAAAGTCACACTTAAGCTCTGCAAAATTACCTCTTAATAATGAGATTGGGGCAGTTTGCAAATGTTGGAGTGGATTCCTATCCATGCTTGTACTTGGATGTCCAGCTAGCCAGTGGCGTGAGTGTCTGGTGGTTCATTTGTGGTTAATTTTGGGGGAGTGAATTGTAAGCGTGTGAAAACTTTCAGCCCAGCGGGAATCAGAGATATCACCGTAGCTGCAGAACCGGTCTGGGTGCGGCATTGGGATAGTGTCTGGACCTGTTGTCTTTGCCATAGCCTGGTATTTATGCAGGTGTTCAAATGTTCACACGTAAAAGTCAAAAGTTTGGCATCTGTATAAACGTAAAAATGGGAACCCAAGGCATCCTGTGTCACATACTCAGGTGTGGTGGGTAGCTTAGTCATTAAAGACGGGCTTGTGGGTTTAAGTCTAGCTGTACCACCCTTGATGTTTGAATTAATAAAACAGAGTAAAGATAATAGGTCTGTCTGTTTGATTGCTGCTGGGTTGATGACCAGTGGGAGCTGGGAATTCTTCATTGTGTCAGCACACTTTCCGTCTATTCTTTCTCCATCTGCTCACTCACCTTCTGGTCACTCTCTGTTTGCTCACTCTCCATCTGCTCACCCTGTTTTCACTTACTGTCTGCTTACTCACTCTGTGGTCGCTCACTGCCTACTTACTCACTCTCTGGTCACTCACTGTCTGCTTACTCGCTCTCTACTCATTCCCTGTCTGCTCACTTACCCCCTGGTCACTCTCTGCCTGCTCACTGGCTCTCTGGTTGTTCTTGGCGTAGGCTTGACATGGACACTGCAGTCTCTTACCTGAATGCATCGGAACCAGAAGTACAGGTCCAAGGCACTGCTTTCATCCAGCACGAGTGCTACCATAAGGATCAGGCCAAGACCAAGGTACCTAACCGCTGACTTTCCACATAGCCTGACTCTGCTACAAAAGATACTTGCTGTGTTTCCACTGATATATGTAAATATATTACATCATTCCTGTGTTAAGTTCACTGAAGTGTTTCATGCTGAAATATAAAGTAAACTCAACCCTGCATCCCACTGGTTCCTTTTCTAGCCGTAATAATTTACCTATTCTTATAATTATAGCCAGAAATGTTACTTGTTATTACTGGGTGGTCTACTAGTCATGAACTGCATGTGTAACTAATGCACTCTGGACAAAAAACTGGGATGTAAATCAGTTGTGAATGGACATATATGCATGTTTAACATTCATGAGCTCAACGCAAATGAGGTTTGGCTGGCTTGTTCACCTCCCAGCTGCGGGAGCTGAAGGGTATCCCTACCCTGGTGAAGCTCTTCACCAGCCCGGACCTGGAGGTGCAGCGCTACGCCACGGGGGCCATGCGCAACGCCATCTACGAGAACATGGAGAACAAGACGGCCCTCATTGAAGCGGGGGGCATCCCCCGGATGGTGGAGGCCCTCAACGAGCCTGATAGTGACCTTCGCAAGAACATCACAGGTCAGGCGCCACCTGTGGCTCGAGGAAGACCTCTTTGGTGTCCTTGCCGTGACGGAAGCACTTCCAGGGTGCTAGTGAGGAACGTTCAGCCCTCAAATGGCAGGTTGCTCAACAGGAGCCGTTGTGGTAAAATGCCAAATAAATATAAACAGGTATAGAGATAGTTGCTAGGCTGCCAAGTAACTTGGTGATGCTTTGGTGATGGTGATTTGCCGATTTCCTCTCTCCCACTCAGTTTATACTCTTCAGTGGATCCATGTGCACGTGTATTTTGTTGTGAAATCTTGGTGTTTAATGGTGAAATCTGAGCTTTTAAAATCTGGTGGGTCTTTAAAACCATGTTTTTTCTGTGTTGTTTAAAAGCTGATCTGCTGAAAAAGGAATCAGAACCTGGCTCATCAGACCTTCTAATAATCTGGAAAAACATCTGCTTTTTTCAACTTTTCTAGTCTTATGAGTCAGGCATTCTGCAAGGTCAGCACCCCGCTGGCTTGATTCCATCAGTGATAAGGACCCCTATAGATTATACAGGAAATGGAAGGATTTCACTGGGAGGGCGTGGCAGGGGGTGCAGGTCTGGGTTTTTCGTATCAGACATAACTCACATCACCCCGCCATGTGAGTCAGACAGTCACTTCAAACCTAGACATTCCCTGCAGCTGACTAAAAGATTTCTGTTCAGTTCAGTTCATATATACAGCACTCCTCCCAGCATATTTTCCTGAGGGAGATCAGTACCTCAGTAAGTCGAGAGTGGGTAGGTAAAGGAAGAACAACTGCGCGTCAAAGGGCACATCCAGAATGTTCTATAAACTAGGATCTTTCTAACAGAAGGCTTTGTAGTTTTTAAATTGTTTTAAAATTATGGTAACACTTAAAACACTCATGTATAATGCAGTATAGCTTCCTTCATAATACATTATCATACATATGCATTCATAAAGTATTATAAACACGGCTATAAATATTTATCAAAAGGCATAGCACATTATAGCCACGTTTATTATGCATTATGAATGTTTTATGAAGCGTATATCTATAATGCACTATAAATACCTTCATAATGTATTAAAATGCCTTATACTGACCATTATAATGCATTATCTATAATCTATAATGCATTATGATGACTTTAATTAAAGTGTTACCAGAATGATTTTACATTTTGTGTTGTGGAGTCTGGGAGTGCATTTTGGACTGTACATGTTCAACTGAGCTGAATAAGAAAGGAATGGGTTTTTGAATGCCTTACATCCAAGGAGAATAATTATAATTTTGGTTGAAATTCCTGTTGCCTCCTTTTGGTGTTGCTGGCTGAAGGCTTTGCGGTCATTCTGCGTAGATGTGACTCGTGGTCTCGGCCCTGAGATGTGTTGGTGGTGTCTGACGAACTCCCCCTCTGCATCTGCAGGGATCCTGTGGAACCTGTCCTCCAAGGACAACCTGAAGGAGAAGGTGGCCAAGGACACCCTTCCCCAGCTGACCGAGAAGATCCTGACGCCTCTCTCTGCTGGCAAGGACTCTGATGACAGCCAGCAGAGTGCGTCTGATGTGGAAATCTTCTGCAACACCACAGGCTGCCTGAGGTACTGGCACAGATGAAACAGCCCCCTTCCTACCTTCCTTTCAGACCTTAGTGCCGGTGCGGCGGTGTTCCTCATCATGACGTGACGTCTGCCTAGCTCCTGTCCTGCCCCTTTACTGGCCGGTGACCTGCTTTTACTCCGGCTGCCCGCAGGAATCTGAGCTCCTTGAATGAGAAGACACGTCAGCAGATGCGTGACACCCCCGGGCTGGTGGATTCTCTGGTGGGATACATCCAGGGCTCCCTCAATGATCTGAGCATGAACGGCAAGGTCAGCGCCCACTCCTCGCTGCTGATTGGTCTGAGCGTAGCTGTCGGGGTTTATAGTGCCTTGATATGATCTGTCTGTTGAGTGTCATCCACAGGCAGCAGATCACCAAATCCACACCTCAGCGTCTCACCCTCCAGCCCCCATGTAATTTGGAGTTAGCATGTGCATGAAACGCCACCCTCAAGGTGTCATCATGCCAGCTCTCCCTGCTTACCTCCATGTGGTTGTCTTCCAGGGAGTGGAGAACTCCATCTGCGTCCTGAGGAACCTGTCTTATCAGGTGTACAGCGAGATGCAGCCCTCCACCCTGCGCCGGCTGGAAGGGCCGTCACGTTCTGAGGACAGAAACACCAACCCCGTCATTGGCTGCTTCACCCCCCAAAGTCGCAAGGCCAAAAATGTACGCTGCTTCTTTTACTTTCTCAGGACCTGCCGTACTGTCAGGATGTACCAACCACACGAAGGTGTGTAGTGTAAATGCTGCTAGAATGAGCTGTGGGAGCCGTGTCTTCAGGTCAAATTACTGTTCTTGGCTGTTTTTTTTTCTGTTGATGTGTAAATGTCTTTTTTACTTATGAAACATGTGTTATGCTACTGTAAACCTGCAGTTTCCCTCCTCCTATAAGTGCGGTTTTTCCTGCAGGCACTCAGCTCGGATGTGTCGTTCACGGAGGTGGCCAAGCAGCCTAAGGGACAGGAGTGGCTGTGGCACCCCCAGGTGGTGCCGCTGTATAATAGTGTGCTAGAGAAGTGCCAGGAGAACGCCACCACGAGGGAGGCGGCCGCCGGGGCCCTGCACAATATCACGGGCGGAGACCAGAGGGTAGGATACAAGGCCTCTTAGGCCTCAGTGTCTGTTGGCCCTGGGATTCGACCCAGCAACCTTCTGATCCTTCACCAAACTGTAGGGTTTAATGGGAGCTGCCTGCTCTGTGCTCCCCCCCCCCCCCCCCTTCCCCCCCCCCCCCCCCGTTCTTCTCCTCTGCAGTGGGCGTCCGTGCTGAGCCGCGTCGCCCTGGACAGGGAGCGCTCTCTGACCGTTCTGGTGGACAGTCTGTGTGCCACTGACAGTGATCAGGAGCTGCGCTCGCTCTCGGGGCTCCTGCGGAATCTGACTCGCCAGTGCGGAAGCAAAGACACCATGGGTGAGCTGGAGCAGGTCTGCTGTTTCTGGGGCCCTTCTCAAAAAGTCACTTTGGCGCCCCCTGCCCCACCCTCAGATGTTTCAAAAGCTAGATAAATAGCCGCGGAGCAGAGTCAGAAGATCATAGCTAGCTAGCTGGTTACCAGAACATGCTGCTTCAGAATGTCCTAAATAAATTTTTATTTAATATTTCGTGTAGTGTCTGTTTTTGGCCAACAGGGGGAGGGGGGTAAACCTAAGAGGCCCCACCCAAATGCGTGGCTTGAGTGGTGGTAAATACCTCTGCTGCTGGGCTTACGAACCAGGGGGATACATGTTTGAATCCAAGGACAGGAACTACTTTCAAACCATGATTCTGTGAAATAAAAATGCTGAGCTGTCAGAAAATCGAGAATGCATGAGTATCATGTGGAAATGCTTGGCAAACACATGCAGGGACGCTGTGGACACTGACAGGTCTGCGTCTCCCAAACAGTGACCAAGCTTGTGAGCCCCCTGGTGTCGCGGTTGCCGAGCGACGGCCGACAGAAGGAGCCGTCCAGCGAGGTGGTGATCAACATCTGCGGGGCCCTCAACAACATGGTGGCAGTCAGCTCCAACGCTGCCCGGGAGATTACCTACTGTGACGGGCTGCAGAAGCTGGTGGCCATCAAGGACTCTAATGACAGCAGGTGGGCAGGATAGGGGAGAAGCAGGGCTTTCCACTGTCCTTAAGCTTGTAGTATCAGGTCTGCTACAGGTGAAGCCGGCACAGTAGTTGAGAATGCTCGTGGTCAGGCGTGGGAAACTTTTGTGGAGCCTTTGTATCATAGTCTGCCTCAATATTACAGCTTGCCTCTGCAATCTGATTTGCCTCTATAAGCTGACCTGCCTCTGTATTACTACCTGACTCCATAACCCAAACTGCCCCTGTATAAAAGTATGCTTTCATAACCCAACTTGCCTTTATATCCCAGTCAGCCTCCCTCGATCTGCTACCATAACCCGACCTGCCTCTGTATCACGGCCTGTCTCCATAACCCGACCGGTCTCTATAACCCAACTTGCCCCTGTAACTCTTTTCTGCCCTGATAACTCAACCTGCTTCTGTGTCACTGCTTGCCTCCATAATTCAACCTGCCTCTGTTAACCCGATCTGCCTCTGAATCGTGTCCTGCCTCTGTAACCCAACCTGCCTCTTCCCCCCCCCCCCCAGCACTGGGAAGATAAAGGCAGCCAAGGCAGCATCCACAGTCCTTGGCAACATGTTCCAGTACAAGAAGTTACACAAGGATTACAAAGAGGTAAGTAACTAGGATGGTGCAGGGTGGAGCACATACCAGGGCGGCATGAGCAGATGTGGAGGTGGGGCAGGGGCTGGGGTGCTGTGGACGGGTTTCGGGTGTGCAGTGGGCAGGTACTGGGGTGGGGCAGGCGCTGGGGTGCTGGGAGGTATGGGGGTGCGGCACAGTTGAGTATAAGGTTCCCAGAAAGAGAGCAGCTGTGTAGGAAGCCAATCTACTGAAGGGTGATACTTTGGATGAGTAACCAGCATGTGTTTGTGGTCAGGATGTGGCGGGAATCTGGTGTTGGATTGACTCCCTATCAGTGACCTCTCCCCCGGATCTCACTGCTCAGCTGCAGTGCGCCCTGGTTACCAAACCCCCCCTTTGGAACGGGGCTTATCTGCAGGCTTGAAATAGAGCAGGACAGCAACTACCACCCCAACAGCATGCCTTCCTCCCTCTCTCACTCCTTCCCTCCCTCCCTCTCTCCCACCCTTTCTTCCTCTCCGTGGTGTTATTCAGCTTTTCACTGTAATTCGATATGCAGGGACATCGCGGCACACGCGTTTATTTATCGGAATGTACGCAAATATGCGCACGTGTGAGAAAGTGCCGGAATGCCAGCGCTCTTGCACCAAAGGGCGTCTGCTGACACCAGCCACATCCTGCCCCCAGGCTGCGCTGCACTATGCGTGAAACACTCAGAGATGCATGTCCTTGCTCGCATTTCCCGTCTGTCCTCATCAGCAAGGTGGTTATCTGGTGAAACTCAGAACAGCGCATGTTCGTGCCTCAGTATTTACATGCAGTCCGGGGTGATGACCTGCACTGAGCTTGGGAAACCCGCTTAGCCGTTATGCCACATTCTGCACTGCTCATTGCTCGTCTCTTTTTTGTTTCGCAGAAAGGGTACAACAGACCCGACTTCGCTGAGACCATTATGTAAACTAGGACCACCCCCCACCGCCCCACCCCTGCCCCAAATGACTGGCCACGTTGACTCGAGCGCCACAGAGAAGTCATGTATAGAGGCCATGTGGTTATCCCATGCGACCTCCCTCGGAGTTTGTGATAGGCTGAAACCTACAGCCAGTCAACCAATGGCAGCGGTGAATTGTGCAGTCTGATTGGGAGCTTCACTTCACATGCAAATCTGCTTTTGCTTCACTCTTCCAAGAAGAACATAATAATCACCTTTTTTCTGTTTATCATTCACTTAAAAAAAATCCTGAAGTTTATTCTTTGGAGTATTGGACTGTTTCACTGCCCCGACGGCCCAAATGTGTAGCTGGTCCAGAGCAGCAAGAAATCTCTCCACTTGCGATGTTCTCAGTGTTTTTGAAACATATTGGCAGCTGGTAGTAAGGACTGAACCGGGCCGGACTTGGAGCTGTGATGAAGCAGGGGCTCTCGTTGGGAAGCACCGTGCTGATGCTGCTCTGATGGATGGCAGTTCTCTGCCTCCACTCCCCTCCACCTAAGCACCGTACTGTGCTCTGCAGCCGGCACCGGAGGCCCTTCTTACAGAACGCTGCCCTGCATCCACTGATCCATCTACCGGCGCCGGGAAATGAACGCAGGCCCGAGGACACAGGGTCTGAGTGCTCCTGCTGTCGATGCTCAGTGACAGGCAGCCCCCAACGGCCCCACAAAGCCCTCCCCTGCTCGACGGCCTCATTTGGGCCCGAATCGTCAGTCCTGTAACGGCATCGATTTCTGTAAAGTGTTTGGGAAACTGATTGCGTGTGCCTTAACTCTGTAAGTTATAGTGTAAAAATATAATACGTGCTAACTAAGTATGAGATTACTACTGATGGTGGTGAGCTGGCAGTAAAAAGCCAAATTTCAGATGGTTTAGACTTGTGCATAAGGGATTGTTTTATTTTTTTTTTAAGATTTGTTTAGAATGAAAAATTAATGTGATGTCACACATGCTGTGTTCCTGTCCTGTTGCAGGCAGGTAACTTTTATTATTTGCATTTTATTATTATTCACTGTCAGCTTGTGGTGACCATATAGGCATTCCTCTGGAATGTTCTGTCCCCAGTCTGGGTCTTCTGGCTTCCCAAAGGCATGTTCATTATTGTGGTGATTGAATCCATCTGTTTTATCTCTTGTCCTACTCATCTCTTACCTAGTGCCTGGCCTGCTTAATAGTGCCAAATAGGTTCTTCTCTAATATTGTAGTGGGTCTTTTTATAAGGCTATTCATTAAAATACAAAATGTTTTTTTTTTTTTTTTAAATAAAAAATCTTATTCGTAGTTTCACTGCAGTATCTGTCAGACAAGTATGCTGATTTCCTGGTTTAAGTAATCTGCAGCCAGGGACATAATTACAGTATTGGCGGTGCTCCATGCCGCTATGACCCCCCCAGAGCACAACATGGGCACATCAGCATACATACACCATGTACATGCAAATGTAATGATGGACTTGTTCTCTGTTTCATTTTTCATTTTACTGGCAATAATAAAGGCATCTTTGGTTTATATGTGACTCGCCCTTTACTTATATGTGATTTCCAAGCCTCTTTGTTTGTCCAGAGCAGGGTTATAAATTTTTTTTTTATCTGTACTCACTTTTTGATTTTTTGCCTTTAGTTGCAGTTTTTGTTGAGTACACACATAGTTGTAGTATTTATTTGTTTAAAATTGGTCTAGTTTCTTTGTGCGAGCTTGAAGATTATTATCGGCTCATTGTTAAGAAGTCCCAAGTCAGACTCTTGTTTCCTTCCAAATCGCATTACCTTCCGAATCGCTTTACCTTCTCCAGCAGTCAGTCGGTTAGCGTAGCCACAGAATGCTACATCAGAGCCCATACTTAAGACATCACCACCTTCTGGGTATTTGAGAATTAGCAGTATGGAATGGATCTATTTTTAATTGGATAAAGTCCATGTAATGGTCATACCAAAGCTGAAGACGTCTTTCTTTTCCATTTTATTTTTGTTTTGTAATGGAGATTGGGGCTGTCGCGATATAATCGTGTTAATAGAGGTAAGAATCTCATTGCCTCTCATCTATATTTGTCCTGACACACTTCCTGTTGCACTCACTCTGGACTCCTCTGTCTGCTGCTATCCCTTTCTACATTAAATACAGATTTATTATTATTATTATTTTGCTTTAACAAGTAAATATATATTATCTAACTATAATCTATTATAAAACCTAACCCTGGGTGAGGTATACTACCTTTAGCACTGAAAACATTATTATACGTATTATAATAAATTCTAAATAACTTTTTAACTTAATGAATTTGGACAGCCTAATGCTGACCAGTGTTAATTTTGACAGCAATTTTTTTATTTAGTTTTAGCCATAGTCTTTTGACTAAAATGTAATTTATTTTTAGTCATAATTTAAATTATTTTAGTTTTAGTTGACTAAATACCATTACAGTCGACTAAAACTACAGTTGATTTAGTCGACTAAAATTAAAAGTGCAAAGTGTAATGTTTAAAGTTTCCCTTCTAGTTCTGAAAGTCATTATGTTCACCAAGATGAAATGAAACCAATGTTAAGGAATGGTGTTAAGGTCTCACTGTGCAGTACACAAAGACTGGCGTAGTTTATTGATTTCAAGTTCGTTTAAGTTTCCGCTTTTTAACAATTAAGTGTATAAAGTACTGTAATGTTATTTGTTATATAAATCAACTCAGGTGAAACAAAAAATGTACGTTTTCATGACTGCCAAATCTCAAGCAACTGGTATGACAGACTAAAGCAGGAAATCTTACGGCAAATCTATATTATACCATTATAAACCTAAAATTAGCTACGTACAAAGTGTATTAAACGGTCAAATACAAAAGCAGACAAGGTAGCTGTTACATGTGTGCAGACATTTCGAATTGAAAATCTCACTCCAGCCAGCTGGCCGAAGTTGCCAACCCCGCGTTTTATTTGAAATAAAAAGTAAAATGCGCTGTTTTCGCCAGAAACGGCTCGTCATTCCGTTTGCGTTGTTACTCCGACAAATATAAAACGAATATGAGAAAACACAACATGTTACGTTTTATATCTTTTCGAAATAATAAGACCGCCCATATCATAGCCTACTCTAATAGCGATTAAAGTTCGTATGTATTTATATTAAAACGAGAATTTTATTACCGGTGTGGGATTATCGAAACCAATACTTAAATCCATGAACGCTAAAATATATGACATAAACACCACTGCATTAGGGTTTTATGTCTTAAGTTAAGCACATTATTTAAACTTGCACAGTTTTCACATTTTATTTATTTTCTCATATTTTGAAATGCAGCCCTACTTTTATTTAGCAAATGAGAAAACATTATACATATCGGCAGTCGTACATATGTTCAGTTCTATGTTACGTGACAATAAATATTGTCAAAAATTTGTTTGTGGGCGTATCATGCCTGCGGTGGTGCATCGAGTGGTGGGTGCGGCAACCTCCTCCTTAGTACCAAACTGTGGTGCTATCATGCTTTTGCAGGATTCTTGTTTTTCTTTCATATTTAACTGAAATTTTGGCTGGACACAAAACACGGGGAGGGGGGTATTCCACAAAGCAGTAGTAAGGATTTGACTTATAGGTTATCCAGCAAAACGGGACATTATGTAATATGTTTTGTGGAAACCCCCCAAAATTTTAATTCAGAAAAGTTTCCTCTCTTCGCCCACTCTGAGTTGTAGGTCGTAAATCGATTTTTCCTTGACGCCAGCAACTCACCCGATATTGTTTTGTCCTCTTAATTCGCCCGTCGCTCCCCACATCTCACAAAACTAACAAAATAAATAAAAAGTTTTCTTTCCGGTGTTCCGGGCAATTCGGTTTCCCTATGTTTCCCCTGTCTATCAGGAAATAATGTTTCCCCTAATATTAAAGCAAAGAGGTATGTGAAATGTCTGAAAATCACTCAAGTACATTATTACATGTGAATACTGTATTGTTATTAGTTCCGAGGCCCAGAGTTGCTGTATACCTATTTTAACAGGGGGGAACCAAATATCCTGGATGTCAGGAAATAATGTTTCTCCTAATATTTAGGCAAATATGTATGTGGGATGTCTGAAAATCACTCAGGTACATTATTACATGTGAATACAGTAGATCGTCACGCATAATATAGTCTTATAAGCAATACTATACCGTTTTCATCAAGAAATATCTCTATCCAGCGAATGAAATACTTTAATTTATTATCTGTAAAAACAAAAAACATGTGATGTTTTAAAATATATGGCTTGTTTACCTCAAGAGCTTTGTAAAAAGACATGAAAACAACAGCGAAACCGTGCACAAATCAGCGCGCGACAGGGGAAACATAGGGAAACCGAATTGCCCGGAACACCTGTTAAGCCAGGACAGGTGGCAGCCCTACAATGCCTACGGTTACTAGCGCAAGCAGATTAATATAGTGCGCCTATAAATATTGATGATAAATATCCTTATGTTTATTAAATTTATTTATTAAAGGAGATATTGTGGTTAAACAAGGTAAAAAAGATGTCGGTTCTGTGGCGAACTTTTTTGCGTTTTTATGTCCGACACGTTTACTAACCATAAGGATACTCCGAATTTATACAGATTACTAATTTACAGGCGTCACCTCTCATTCATATTTTAGGCACACTACTAATCTGCTTACCTAATTGTGGGCGTTAGTAAACGCCTGAACAGCACCGAAAGGCTGCCTTTCAGACAAATGTTTTATGTCCATCATATAAAGCCCTGGTGATTACTGCGCATGTCCAATGAGGAAATCCCTCTGCTGACCCTGTGCCTTGAACCCGCATCTTTCTGCTCACACCACGCCAGTTGTGCCTGCTGAGCGATACATCGCCAATAACAACCTTGGTCTACAGCCACAGGTTCTTGAGGAGATGCAAAATTATTTCAGTATTCTGTTTTAAAATTATTTACCGTTTCAGCCCTCTGTCTTTGAGGAATGAGAAACAGCATTTAGTTCAGTGTTAAGCAGAACTCTGTCCAGCGTTTATAGGGCTGGGAATGACATCACAAAGGGAGAGTCCAGCTGTCTGTTATAGAGCAGCTGACGTGACCTTCACAGTACGGTATTCGGAGGAGCTATGGACCCTGGGGATGCCTTTGTGTCAGACATCAGATTGGTAATCCAGATGCCATGCTGTTGAGCCTCGCCTTGGGTGCCTACACCCAGTTCAAACCGAACGGCACCGTGATGCCAGGCCCAGCGGACAGAAGGAGTGGATCCTCATGTAACGGATCAGCGAGCAGGTTCCAGATGCAGTGAGCGCGGCCTGTCTGGTCAGGCTGCCTTTCAACCAGAAGCCACCCTGTTCATACAGCGTAACGGTGCATAGCCTCACCCAGGTCGCTGCATGCCAGGGAGTGCCAACCTGTCTAAGCCTGCTGAACTTTGCTGGCTTACAGACCCATCAGTGAACAATCACCCGCCTCCATCGAAACGCTGCTGCTGACCAACGTCCCATCTCACCCACTTTGGTCAGCAAGCCAGTGCCGCTTGGAGCTCCACCTCTCCACCATCGAGAAGTGTCACTCCAGACTAGAGACACTGACCGATCTGCAACCAATTTTAATTAGCCTTTTTTCAGTCTTAATTACTTGATCAGCTACCTTTAATTTGACCGATCTCAAATACCGATTTTGGTATGTGACATTCAAGATGTGCGTCAATTACTTAAAATATGAAGTTTAAAACGCAGCAGCTGCAATTCATTTATATAGCACATTTTCACAATATTACTGTACATCGGCTTAAAGTGCTTTACATTGTCTCTGCCTAATACACCCAGACAGCAAGCCAGAGGCAACAGTGGCAAGGAAGAACTCCCTAGTAGGAAGATTCCTTGGGAGGGACCACACTCATTATGTCATCTTAGGTCTGACAGTTTTACCAGATATCTATCAGAGATAAAAGTTCTGCAATTTGCTGCATATGTGCAAAAGTTGTTTAGAGACGATCATCTGTTAAGGCACTGAACACCATGAACCTCATTAGAAATTTGAATCTTCACCGAGAGGAGTACGGGAAGTATGAGCGCTTGAGTTTATCTTTGTGGAGGGTGAGTGGTTGTTCAGTACAGCTGTGCAAATTTTGGATAAGAGGAGGATAAGACTCTCTCCAAAAAATTGACATTTGTGTCTTGGAAAAGCATAGGTGTGTCACCCAGAGCCATTTTGTGGCAGTAAGAGTGACGTTATCCGGTGCCGTTGGTATTGGCCAATTCTGATCCCAGAATTAATCAGTGACCAGCCCAAAAAACCCAGATCAGAGCAGCCCTACTGCAAACGGTTTGTTTGTGTGGTTCCCTAATGGTGGAATGAGCTGCTGGACCATGTCTGTCCATCAGACTCCCTGTCCATCTTCAAGAAACACCTCTAGACCAATCAGTTTCATGAACTCCTCTATTAGACTGTTGACTCTTTACATTCCCAGGATGTTCTGGTGCTAGTTACTCAGTTAGGTACTTGCTTTGATAGAAGTTGTTGTGTAGCTCCTCCTCTAATACTGCTTACACCTGTACCTGAGCATTCATTGGAAGCTCAGCCTAGCTGCACTTATGCCTATTTGTCTCTTTGACAGCAGTATGTCTGTAATGTACTGTTTGCCTCTCTTGTACGTCACTTCTGACAAAATCGCCTGATCAGTGTGGGAACTGTACATGTAAAAGTTACCTGTTTGAATTCCATGCTCAGCAGAGTAACATAATTTCTGCTGGGCCCTTAACCCCCTGAAAAATGTTCCAGAGGGACAACTGACTGTGCACTCAGACCTCATGCTGCACTGATCTCTATATAGGTATGTGTGTGTGTGTCTCAAGAGTAAGGCAGGATACACAAAAGCAAACACATTCCAATATACAGTGGTACCTCAGTTCTCGAACTCATTAGAAGTCGAACCAACCAGTTCGAAAAAATATGACCTAGAACTCAAGCTGAATCTCAGAAGTCGAACAGTGAACGCCGACCTAAGATAACTTGTTCACGCGGGGAAATGAGTCACGCGGCACGTCTCTCAGCGGAAACAAAGGGTAACACTTCAGTCGCATGCATGCATGTTTACACTAGCTGAATACATATATTTAGACAGTAAAAATACATTTAGACAATGATAGACAGTAACAGTAATTATTATTATATAATAAAATACATCTTAAAAATAAAGATTTCTTATTAATCAAATATAATTAATAATAAGCTATTAATACATTTAATTATAATAATATTGTCGCGCAGAGCTGGGACAGAATGGAGACAAAGGCGCAGACGTCAGGGTATTGGGGAATACGGGGTTTAATTACAGGTAAGGCAGGCAAAACGCAGATGGACAATACAATGACTGGACTGGGGAAACAAGCTGAAACGCGGACGAAATACAGAACTAATGACAACAACCAGAAACAGCTGATCACACGGGGATTCCACACGGGGTTAATGAGGGGGCGTGGCACACGGAAGGAGCGGACGATAGGGGCAGGACACATTTTTTTTTAACTTTACACATTGTTTGGATACATTTATTGTCTTAATTTCGAAATTACTGTTTTGATAAATGTGCTTAGATGTGTTTAGTAAAGTATATGCTCTTCTTGTTTTAGCCTGTTCATTTTGTGTTTAAATGCTAAAAAAACATATTTAGGTGTAATTTTTTGGGGCGGGGAACAAATTAATTAGTTTTCCACTATTTCTTATGGGCAAAACTCGAACTGAGGTACCATTGTACTTGTAAAAATGGGAAATAAAGTTTCATTTGACATATACAGAAGACAGTATTTTTTAGTTTATCCCTTTGTGAAGGTTTAAGCTTGACGATCAAGCTTTTAAATACATGCTTATGCTGCCCCCTGCTGTCTAAAATGATAACTGAAATAGAAAACATTTGATTATTGATACACTTCGTAAAATAACATATGATTCAGACAAAGCTCTGATGGTCTTCAAACCTTTTGGTGGATCTGCTGAAAATCCCAGGGTTCATAAATTCACAGAAATGTATTTTTCCACAGCTTCCTAAGCTGGGAATTGACCTTCTTAAACAGTTTTTTTCCCCACTAGATTTACAAGCCAGTTGACACATAATTGATGAAAATGACTCAGATTCCATTATAACAAGCATAAGAAAAAAATTTTTTTTTTAGTTTTTTTCCCAACAAGCAAAATATCCACACTTCAAAACTACACACTAACATTTAACCAACAGAAATGTTATTTTATGTGCTTAAACTCTTCATTAAATACGAGATAAAAGTAGAAATCAATAATGAAATATAATTTTAAAAATTTGATATACACATAAATAGTCACAAAATCTCTCCAAAGGGGTTTCAGTTTGTCAAAAGTTATGTTACAAATTATTTTACTTCCAGTACTTAAATTAGATTCTCAATTAAATTAAATCATTCTTCAAATCATCTTCAGACAAAACACATCTTATTGTAGGTTCCAGGTCCTTTCAGCACCGAGTTAAATGTTAAACTCTGCATACACTCTGCTCTGCTCCATAGCACCACCCAGTGCAAGATCAAGGCAGTGCGAAGACAAACACCTGCATCACATGCACCACAGATCAGAGCTCTAAGTGCTGGAAGTGAGTTGGAAAAAGGCCTTTCATTCAGACCGGAGCACTTGGTGATGAGGATTCAGGACCAGTCTGAAAAAGGTGCCAGGGACAACTCCCTCCCTCAACATCAATCCTTGATCTCCCAATTCTTCTACTGGGTAATGCAGGAGTACAAGTACACCAGTGGTTACCTGGACAGTTCAATTTTTGTCTCACCACAGTTAGAAAAATGAAGGCGAGGGCAGGTTTGGCAGGTCAGCTTGTCAGGTTTCAGACATCTTCCTTAGTGACCAAGCAGTAGAAGTCAGCACGGGCACCATAGTTCCTGGAGCCTAGGTCAGAGACGTCTATATCGAAGGGCTTTGCTTCTGCCACTGGGGGTAGTTGAGGTGGGGCAGCCGGCAGGCTGGGAGCTCTGCTTTTCTGGGTCTTGTAGACGGGGAGTTGTAGCCCTGGACAGGAAGTGGAGGTATATTACAATACTGTGGTGCACTATTACCGAGTTTACAGATCAGTGTGTTTAGTGGACTTCAGCTTGGAAACAGATGACTAGTGAACTCACTGGATCAGTGACCGGGCTCGTTAACTGTTGGGTTATAAGCATAAACACTGGACCCCCCTGAGCCCAAACCCAATTTTGTGTTAGAGTGCGTGAGTTATGGGCTGGGCACATGAAGGACACTGACCAGTAACAGATGACACCATCAACGATTGAGCCACAGTCAGACTGGTTAGGTACTCGTACCAAGGTCACCCGATGGGTCACAGTCGGGGTCGGGGTGGCAGTCGAGGTAGTCTGGGTGTAGGGAGAGCATGGGGTCCCTGTCATCCTGCAGCAGCGTCTGGGGGGTCGTCATGGGGGGGCAGTGATAGGCCATCTTCCGGGGCAGCGCTAGGGACAGCTCTTTCCAGAACACTGACGAAGGAGTCTGGAGAGCACAAAACCAGAAGCATATAATGTTTAGTAGGTACAGTCACACTGCTTTGATACTGCATGATGAAAACAGTGCTTTCCTTGCCATCTGCACAAGTTCATAGGAATATTTTAATTGGCACATATACCATCATGCTCTACTTTTTAAGACACACGCATATATAGAGGTAAGAGGGCCCAGGGTCTGCTGTCCATCCAGGACCCTGGGCCATTTTTCAGGTGGTTAAAGGTCTTGCTCAAGGGCCTAACAGAGATGTGAACGTTCTGGGATTAGAACCAACAACTTTCTGATTACAGGCACTGAGGCCTAACCCCCCCCCCCTCCACTCCACTCCACTCCACTCCACTCACCCCACATCACATGAGCTGCTCTCAGTGCATATGCTTAATAGTGAATCTGTAAAGTCTGCTGAGCTAATCTGTTAATTAGTGATAGGGTTGCAAAATTTGGGGAATTTTTAAAGTTGGAAACTTGCCATGGGAATAAATGGGAACATATGGGAAGTAACAGGAATAAACTCAAAATGTGCAAAATTTCATTTTGGCCTATGACAGGGAACTTAAATGTAGTTGAAATAAAAAACATCCTGCAGCATAATCGTGGTTAAAACAAACAGATTTAATGCAAGTTGAGATGAATATTTACCCTACAGTGTGCATTCCTCCATCTCATGCACAGATAATTTCCAGGATCCTGTACACTAGAGCAGGACTGTTTAAGCCATACTACTGCATTTGAGCCCAGCACTACATCCAGTCAAGTAAGTTTTGATGATATTGCTGGGTTAAATATACAGTGGTACCTCAGTTCTCAAAGTCATTAGAACTCGAATTTCTTAAAAGTCGAATCAACCAGTTAGAAAAAAAAAATTACCTAGAGCTCGATCTGAATCTCAGAATTCAAACCGTAAACGCCGACGCGTGGGGAAATGAGTCACGTGGCACGTCTCTCAGCGGAAACAAAGGGTAACGCTTCAGTCTCAGCCTCGCATTCGCTGTGATAGCATCGTGCATGTTTACACTAGCTGTATACATATATTTAGACAGTAAAAATACATTTAGACAATAATGCAGTTACAGCAATTATTATTATATAATACAAATACATTTAAAAATAAAGATTTCTTATTAATTATTTTAATATTAATAATAAACCATTAATACGTTTAATTATAATAATATTGTCATGCGGAGTGGGGACGGAACGGAGACAAAGGCGCAGACGTCATGGTAGCGGGGAATACAGGGTTTACTTACAGGTAAGGCAGGCAAAACGCAGACGGATAATACAATGACCAGACTGAGGAAACAAACTGAAATGCGGACGAAATACAGAGGACTAATGACAACAACCAGAAACAGCTGATCACACGGGGATCCCACATGAGGTTAACGAGGGGGCGTGGCACACGGAAGGAGCAGACGATCGGGGCAGGACAGATTGTTTTTTTAACTTTACACATTGTTTGGATACATTTATTTTCTTACTTTACAAATTACTGTTTTGATAAATGTGCTTAGATGTTTTTAGTACAGTATTTGCTCTTCTCGTTTTATCCGGTTCATTTTGTGTTTACATGCTAAAAAAACATATTTAGGTGGGTGTAATTTTTTGGGACCGGGAACCAATTAATTGGTTTTCCATTATTTCTTATGGGGAAAATTTGATCAGAACTCGAACTTTTTAGGATTCGATCTGGAGTTCTAAACGGATTAAGTTCGGTATTAAAGTTTAACAACAAATACTAAATCAATGTTTCTATACAGTAGCTAGCCATCCAGTAAATCAAATATGCTAAATAAAAGCCAGATAACACCATTTGATTGACAATTTAACCTTTGGAATCAAATCGATGCACAATGCGTTGTTTGAGTGTAAGAACCCTTTGACGCACAGAAATCACATATGTACCCTCAGAATCGCAAGAAGCCGAACTTGACAGTACTAATAGTGATATCATTGTGTAACCAGATGCTTGTAACTGTGTGTGTAAAAACATTGCAAAATAAGCATCTGCATCAAAACACATTGCTTATAAGTCATAATCTATGCTGTATTATTCATACAGTTTGCTTTCTTTGCCGTATCTGACAGCTGGTGCGGAGGTCCACAGCTCGTTGAAATGGTCCGACTCAGCTCACTTACTTGGAATCAACTTGGAATTTTCTCAAAATTCCCCATCTTAACTTCCCATGGAAAGTTTTTGGGAATTTACCAGGAATTTTCCATCCCTTTGCAACCTTAGTGAAAGTGATGTAATGCTAACACAGCTTGCATATTTTCCCCTTATGGCAACCTGCAGAGAAGGCAGCTTGACTGCTTATCTTTGGGTGACTGTGTGTCTGTGGAGCTCCCTCAGTGCTTTGCAGTCTCTCGGTCTCTCCTCAGCACAGCAAGCTCACCATGGAGTAGGAGCTCCAGGTCAGGATGGTGAACCGCTGCCTGCTGTCGTGCAGCAGCCGCAGCGTGTCTGGGCCCATGTGCTGCTTCTGTGTCTCCCAGGTGATGAGGATGGGCTTCTGGGAGAGCTCCAGCAGCCGCCACAGGCCCTCCCTGTGCACAAACGAACATCACCTATGCATGTCAGCGAGCCCCGAGTGTGACCCGCGAGACCCACAAGAAAAAACACAGGCGGGCGGCTTCATTTTGTTTCTTTGTTTTTAAATGTGCTGTTGCGTGAATGTTTGTGCATATAAATCTATCTTTGGCTTCGAGACCCTGGACCCTGCTAATTCTCTCCATTTAAGATCTTTTTTTTTTTTAAAGAGGATGTTATGCAGAGGTAGAAAGATGCAATGTACAGCTAAAACAATATTTAGCGCTTGTGTGTTCTTTACAAGCTTCTTTACTGGATATGGCATTCAGTAATCCCCAATCTGACTTCTCCAGATTTCTCTTAGTATCACTGACTGAAACAAACAGTGAAATTTATAATGCACCTATAATGCATTATAGATACCTTCATAATGCATTATAATGGCTGGTATACGAATTAATAAAGAATAATGCATTACAGCATCTTCTACTGACAGTCATAAGGCATTAAAATGTTGATTATAATACTTCATAAGCTCCAATGAAGCTCACATCTGTAATGCACCACAGATACATTTATAATGCATTATAATGGTCAGTATAAGCATCCTTTGTACTGCATTATGAAAGTATCTATAGTGCATTATAGACGAAGCTTCCTAAAGCAGTCATAATACATAACATACGTGGCTATAATGCATTATGTCATATATATATATATATATATATATAACCATGTTTATAATGCTTTATGAATGCAGTATAATGTGTTATGAATATGTTCATAGATTCTTATGGACATGGCATTCATAGGAAGTGATACCACATACACCGTATTAGAATACCTCCATTTTATAAGTAGAGCTATAATTGATAAAAAGCAATAAAAATAAACCTGCTAAACACTTGATGCTCCTCTTTAGCATCAGACACTCATGCACTGTGCCAGTTGGTAGGAGGCTGGTTTCTGTGCTTTCAGCTGCTTACCGGAGGTTGCTTGTGCACCAGTCCTGCTCCAGGTATGCCAGGGACAGCACCACGATGAGGCGCCGGCAGCGGCTAACGTTCATCAGCAGCTCTGCGGACGGCTCTGTGGGCACGAAGCGATCAGCATCGGCCGGTGACCAATCATCCAGGAGGGGGCGTGACGCCTAATGTGGGGTACTTATATTAGGACTTGGTGACCAATCCTCTGTGATCAGAGTCACCCGGAAGGGAAGGTGAAGCCTAACCTGAGGTTCTCGAAATTGGGACTTGTCAACTTTGGTCAACCAAACCTATTAAGCTCTTGATTAAACTAACTGGGCAAAATTAATGTTTAGTTAAGCAGTAATAATGTTAAAAGAGAGAGGCTGGGCAATAAGAGAAAGCTGTGCCTTCTGTTTGATTAGGAATTAGGAATATTCCAGGAGGTCGTCAAATATCTTCACAGTGACGGGTCTGCATAATCCTGGCTTCACCTTCAAACTGTCCTACAGCTCATTCACATTACCTGAACCAGGTAAGATGTTCCCATGATCCAGGTGCAGCTTATATCCCTGCTTGTTCTCCAACTGTGGCTTTAGGATGAAGTTGACAAACTTCCGGTCATTTTCGTTGTTGGCGTAGGACACATAGGCATCATACAACTTGCCGTCTGATAAATGTGGACAGAGAAGTGATCAGGTTCCTGGACGATCCTCATCCCAGATGCCACAGGCATACCACCAGATTGCCAAAAGGGAAGCAATCATGAAGTAAATGAGATTAACCATGATGTGAAGTGAAAGATTGGGATTGTGTGGGATGGTGAGCGATGACTCAGTAGGCTGGGGGAGGTCTTTCTCCTGCCAGAATCGCAATGCTCACCATTCATCTCAAAGTCTCCATAGGTGTTCCTATACCAGAGCTTGATGTCAAGGTGGCACTTTGAGAAGATCAAGATGGCCAAGGCCAGGATGACGAGGAGCACCATCACTGCAATGACCACTGCCATGTGACTGGCAGCTCCTAAACACACAGAGGTTACCTATGTTTAATAGTTATGTTAAACTGCATACAGCATCCAACAAAAGAGTATTTAAGTTCTAAAAGCTAGTAAATGTAACATGGACCCTTCAGATGAGCTGGTCAGCTAAACACACAAATAGGAAATACAGTGCTCACAGGAAGTCTTGGGACAGTTGCTTAATTCAGTAAAAATACTGATAATTTATTGGATTGACAACAAAAATCATTATTTTATTAGTTTGTTTACAAATATATATATAGAATAGTGATATTGAAGGAAAACATTTGTTATAATGAACTGAGGCATTTTAGAAATAAAAAAAATTTCTTTAAAAATTTTTTTTTAAATGATGCGTCAATTTAAAATACTTCAGATATCGACTAATCACAGCAGCCATAAAGAAAATGTGTGTGTGGAAGATATGTGCAGATGTGTTAAACTTTGCTCGTCAATGTACTTTTGTTACAAAACCAATAAATTTACAACATTTTTACAAAAATAAGCAAGACTTTCTGTGTGCACTGTATAATCCACTGCCAAGTCAAGCCAGTGGACACTGTTGTGAGTGAAGCTGCAGCCCAAAGCCAGGTCACTCCTGGCAGAACTTCCTGGAAGGCAGAGCCTGGTCTAGATGTCTCATTGTGAACAGTGGAAACCAAATGGCTGTGAACTTTGTGTAACCCCCCTATATGTCCGGAGGATGACTCTCGGAGGCCCCATCCTCCACACTGCGCTGATCTTTCAAGTCAAGTCAATTTATTTAATTCCTGACGACAATTTGATTGCAGCAATCCCAAAAACAATAAAAGACATTCAACAGGTCTACATACAACTATATGAATAGAAAAATAGTAAAATTCCTAATACTTGTAAGCTTTACCAGGGTGCAGAACTTAAAAGCTTAATGCTCGACACAGATCTGATCTGATATGATAACTGCACCTGCTTACTTTCTGCAATTTTACCAGCCATATTAACAATCCTGGTCAATACATGTTTGTCTTTAATCCTCAAAGCAAAGAACCAACAAAGCAGAGTAGAAAATAAAACAGATTCAATAAAAGTCTCGCACAACATATACATTAGTCATCTGTCCACATTAAAGGCCCTAGGTTTTTTCTTACTCATTTCCTGGAGCTGGAATTGGGCTGAGATGTTCCTCACGGTGCAGATGTACAAGCCGAAGTCAGATGGCTCACGGAGCGTGAGCTCCAGCAGGCTGTTCACCACCTTCTGCGATGTGTTGTGGAGGAACCTGAGGATAGGTCATCACTTTTAAGACAGGGATCAGTACTCAGTTGTTTAAAAATACTTGCTAAAGCACACAGCAGCAGGATCTATGTCAACCTATGCTAAAATAGATTCCTTTAATCGGTAAACTTCTACTGATGTTTTATCCAGGATTCTCTCCTCTTCCAGGTGACTCTCATCCCTGGCATAGAACTTACAACATTGGCCATCAACCATCAATGGTTGTCTCTCATATGTCTACTTTAAACACCCTCAGTATGTTCATAGTGCCACCATGCATGAAGTTAGTACTGTATAATTGCGCCCATGATATTGCATACATGAGAAAATGGACAGCATAATCAGTACAGCCGACCCTTCTGCATTGCGACTTTCCCCAACACGGTTTTAATATATCCCAGGATCGCTTCCCTCTTCACGCCAAGGGGTCCAAGAAATTCCATAAGGTTTTTCCAGATCACAGCAGGCCTGCTTCCCTAACCCCCATGAAGCGGGGGGTGACTATATAATGAAAGTGACTCACTCTGAGAGGTTCTGCTGCTTGGTGAGGTTGGACAGAAGACTCCCATCTCTGATCCAGTGCAAGGTGGAGTCACATTGTGGCTCCTGGGGGTCCCACGGTAGCAGAGCAGTGCAGTTAAGGGTCACGGTGGAGCCCAATGTCGATTGTCGATTGTCGTCGGCGGGCACAAACACAGGGGGCTGGGAGCATGCGGACTCTGTGGTGGCAGATGATGATTTCTGTTAGTGCAGCAAGACAGCATTCGGGGGGGCAGAAGGTGGCTCAGAGGTTTAGAACTCTGTGCCTCTAACCAGAAGGTTGCCGGTTTGAATCCCGTGATCACATCTCAAATCTCAAGACCCTCAAGCCTGCCCATCCCCCAAAAGAGTACTCCAGGTGACTGGATAGATGGACAGCCCTGCACTCAGACCTCAAGATTCACTATCACCTGTGTGTGTGTGTGTCTTAAAAAGAAGAGCATGATGGGATACGTGAAAATCAACACATTCCAGTGTACCTGTTCTCCATCTTGTTCAAATGGATATAAACCTTTATTTCATGTCAATGCTGAGGTTTCAGTAAATCTGATAAGACCCAAAAGGCCACTCCCCAGTACCAAGCTCTTTAAACAATGTATCATTGCATCGTTTGCCTTCAGGTAAGGAATGTTTGTGGTCTGCTCACTGGCTAGCGTGACTCACTCCTTTAGCTGGTCTAATCTGAGCTATCAAAACCAGTCTAGTCTGTCCTGCTACACGGAAGCACAAAGCGGAAGTAAAGTTATGTTACCACTGCCATGATATTTTGGGTTCCTGCACAAATGCAAAAAAACAAATTACTCTGGAATTGTGACAAGAGGATAAAAATAAAGACTGCTTTGCACACCATCACTGTCTGAACTGCGTATGTCCACCTTTTGACGATTGTAACTTGTTAATGTTGATGGAATACGCCCTGTTTGACATATAATTGTCCAAAGAAAAGATGTTTTATGGAGTCATCTACTTAACAAGTGTTTATGTTTGTAATAGGTAACATTTGTTGTCTTGATGCTTGTTGGTATGGATTACTTTATATCATTAATTTTAACACCTTAACATTGATAGCTAATTAGTCAGCTAACTAACATCATTAATTGTGAATATAAAGTGTGATTAGTAGCTTAACTTATTATCAGTATGTATCTTGTTGACATATTTGCCTCGTGGACAACAATCCATGGAATTCCATAAATTTTAAACATGAAACCGTTCACTGGCTGTATTTGTGGTGCTAAGCTTGTTTGAAATTTATTCTATAAAAAGTTTCTGTAAAATGTGTTTTTTCATGCTCCTGATAAAATTTTTAGAGATACATGTTTCTCTTTGGACAGTGATGATATGCTAGTATATCAAAATACTGTCTATTGTCTAATATGAATGAATGAATGAATGAATGAATGAATGAATGAATGTTACATTTACATAGCGCTTTCCAAGACACCCAAAGTGCTTTACAGAGCCAATGGAGAGCCATTTCAACCACCACCACTGTGTAGCCCCCACCCCCACCTGGATGATGTGGTGGCAGCCAATCTGCACCAGAACGCTCACCACACCGTAGCTAAGGTGATGAGGGGGCAGGAGAGAAATCACCAATTAGATACAGGGGATGATTAGGAGGCCAGATCTAATAGGGCCACAGTAGGAACAGTAGTTTCTGAGCTTAATTCCCCTTTAAAAACTGTTTGACAGGTTTACTCCAGGTTAACCAAACGCCCCCACTGGTTTCACAGCTCAATCATTAACCAACAAGTTTAATGCTATGACCTTTTCCTGCTACAAGAAGACCAGAGCAGCTGAGAAACGCTCCATTGCACCTCTGTAGTTAGGAACCACTCGGCACGCTAATGCTGTGTCATCAGGAAGGCCCAAGGACTCTAGTTCACGTTGGGATCCTATGGGATTTCATACAGATCGCAGCTGTAAACCTTCGCAGGACATTCATAGGAAGAAATGGAACCATGGTGTCCTCTGTACCCTGGTTTTAGCATGAAGGTGGGATCCCCAATCGTGCTCCAAGAACCAAGCATGTAAAAGGTCCAGCGATCAGACCTGGGCCAAAGTCTGGCAGCAGAAAAGCCAAAAGGTTCAAAATGAGTAAACGGAGCACCGTAATAAATCCATGTAATTCCTGCTCTACAGAAAAGGCGGGACTGTCTGAGAGGAAGGGAAAAAACAAAGACCGTGGAAGACAGGAGTCATGGGCTATACCTCCCACAGCGCCATTTACAAACCCAGAGATGGCTGCCAGACCGAGTCATCTGCCCTTGCAATACGAGAAGGTCACCTGAGATTGCAGCCTGGTGCCTGGGCAGGTAACCCTACCTTTCAATTGACAAAGGCACCCTCTGCTTCTCAACTAATGTGCAGGAGAAGTCATTAAGCCGATTTCTGACAATTACTCTCCTGATGAAGTGATTTAAAGTAACTAGAGACCTGAGCAAAGACTTGTGATGTCATTGGTTACAATTTGTTAGAACGCTGCTCTTGTATCATAAAGACAGTATCAGTTCAGTTAAAAAAAAAAAAAAAAATACACTAGTTCCTGGGTCTGAGATGCTTAGTGCACATTGGAATAAAGCAACTCATTTATTCCACAGCCTTTCTGAACAGGATGGACCTCAGGCAATGGGAGGGTTTAAATCTAAGCTCCAAAATGAGCAGAGCAGGGCCCGATGAAGCGCCACTGCCTCTGGGAAACAGAGCTTGTCCACATGGCTTGGTCCAGTAATACAAAGAGGACATTGACCACACGCTCACAAAGAGGAGCAGCACTGGGTAGCTTGTAACCAGCCAAAACCTCACAAACGCCCGGAGGAACCTGTTACTGCACCCTAACCAAAGAACTTCTGTGGAGCTTTAAATGGACAGAAATGTAATTATGCAAGCTATGCATGATGTAAATGCATGACTATTTGTGCTGGGAACGGGTCACTGACGGCATGCTGCCGAAAGAGAGGCTCACTGACTAACTTACTGACCTTACCAACCCAGGGTACGAGTACATCTCAGAAAGACAAACCGCACTGCATCACTGCATGCTGCCGAAAGAGAGGCTCACTGACTAACTTACTGACCTTACCAACCCAGGGTACGAGTACATCTCAGAAAGACAAACCGCACTGCATCACTGCATGCTGCCGAAAGAGAGGCTCACTGACTAACTTACTGACCTTACCAACCCAGGGTACGAGTACATCTCAGAAAGACAAACCGCTCTGCATCACGGCTGCTGCTTTGCATTTCCTCCCTCTGAACATTTAAGATCTGCTGCACGCGACATAAAAATATATAGGAAAGCTGAGAAAACTGCAGCCAATCACTTGCATACTGATGTGCAGCCTTTAGACCTGTGGTTTCCATGCAAAACAACGGAGAGAAAGAAACAATCAGCGGGCTGGCACTGTGACACTGCAAGCAGAGGGAGGCTTAATGGCGTACAAACGTGACTGGCTGAAATCATCTACTGCAACCTACCAGTGCTCCTTAAGGTGGACCTGCAGCCACTTCTGTTTCATGTACTCATCTAACTGCTGGTAGTGCTGGGAATTCACTGGAAGCTCAGTCTAGCTGTACTTCTGCCTAGTAGACTCCTTGACAACATGTATGTTCGTGATGTGCTGTATTTCTCACTTATACATTGTTTTGGACAAAGGCATCTTCTAAATAGAATAAATGTAATTCGGCTGTATAGAATTCTCAGGCTTTCAGGCAGAGCAGAAGACATGCAGACCGCCTACGGGGACACGGGGACACGGGGACACGGGGAGAGAAAAACAATTAATGGGAGGAGAAAAATGGAAGGAGAGGAATTAAGACAATTAAATTGTGAGATCTTGTGATAATTTTGCATTACTATAACACTGTGTCCATTCAAATTACAAAGGGTAGAACGAATGGACTAATAACTATAAAACTAAATGATGTATAAACATGTCAAGTAAGGTATGGTATAAGCAATAGATTAGGGGAGACTATGCACACCATTAAACTTTCAGATTATGTATTTTTGTAAGTTCATTATCTCTCCATTCATTATGGCCACTTTTACAGTGAGCATCTGCAAAACAGCTATTCAGCATGAAGTATCATTGTCACCATTCAAATATTTATGTCACATGTATTATAAAGAATTTGCCCTTGAAGAAATCTGAAAAATTAAAGGGTGTTGCTGGCTTTTGTTGTAAGATATTGCAGCCACAGAACTTTTATTAATAACATTTATTAATAACTGCATCGTGTTCATTCAAAGCACAAAGGGTAGAATTAATGTTTTGCCAGATAATGCACAAGTAGGATCTCGTAAAAAGATGTTTTTTTTCTTCCATTGATTTTTTTTCTCCTTCCAATGGCCCTTAGAGGCTTTGTAAAGAGCAACTTCAGAAGTGAAATCTTCTGTTCTCACGTTCCAGCAATAAAGAGCTCCTCTCCTGCCCAATAGAAAAATAAGTCAGTTTATCCCAACCTGTGTGCCCATCACCATAAACTTACTGTATGTCCAGCTTAACCTTGCATTTTTACATGTGGGCTGGAGCAGGAAAGGACTGGGCTTAAGTGCACAGCCTACAGCTAATGTTTGCTGTGCAAACACAGTGAGGTCACGGACACAGGCTGCTCAGCTGTAGATGCTGCTGAAAAAGTCAGCAGCTCAACGTGAAGCTAACACCAGTGTTTCAGCCCATTTAAATGTATGTCACTCTTGTGGGAAATCACTGGCAGACCATAAAGATGGGTTGGTACAACAGGACTGCACCCAGACCAGCCTGTAAGTGGGGTATAAAGTCGTTTTCTCTTTGAGCTGGATTGTTTTGCTTTTCCCCATCTTTATGGGGCTTTAGGTGAACCTGAGATCTGAGTATGCCCTGAAAAGGGGAGCAGTTCATAAGGATCCTTAGTATAAGGCTGACAAGTAATATGTTGACAACCTCAGAGAGGACAGTGGGACAGCACCAGCCAGCCTCTCGGACATTCCCTCCTGTTCGAGGACAGTGGGACAGCACCAGCCAGCCTCTCGAATACTAGCTCCAGTTAGAGGACAGTGGAGCATTACCGCCCTGCCTCCCAGACATACCCTCCTCTTGGAGGACAGTGGAACAGCACCACCCGGCCTCCCTGACATGTTGTTTATGGAGAAAGCCTGCAAAGAGGGATAAACAGGGACCCATATCCTGGATTTACTCTTGGTCACTCTGTTTGTTTAAAAAGAGTGATTTATTAACTGAAGCTTTGCCAGGTTCAAAGGTCACATGAGAACCACAGTCACCCCAGTGTCTATATTATAGTAAACCACAGAAATGCTGGACAGTGGGGACACTTTTACAAAAAGGAAAAAGAAACGTTTTTATTTGTTTCTGTAGAGACCTTAGATACTGCAGTCACCTCTCCGACTGACTTCATACAGTAGTTTAAATATTAATAGTCTTTCATCATAAGTACCTACGTATCAGTTGTCATTGGAAGATATTTATTCTGCGACACGTATTAATTACGACCTTAGATCGTCCACAACTACGAAAACAACACGTCAAATCAAATCACCACGATTTAACTAAAGCTTTCCTGTCCGGGGGTAGTAGTTATTTCATCGTATCCAGCACCATGAAGCGGGGCAAAGGACATGTTAAGTTCGATCTTACCTGCAGGGTTTCCAGAAACGTTTCCCCACAAGATATGCGTCAGGAGCAGAAGCGGCGCCAGAGTCCTTCTCATCGTCACCTTTATGATCCGGAACTTATAAAGTATGAGGGCAAGTTTTAAAAGGATCAGACCTGCAGCTCTCTCGTTTTCCGCAAGCCAGCACCGATCACTATCATCCGCGTAGACCCAAAGCTCAAGGGGAAAGTGAAACGAGGCACGTGACGGGGACACCTGCCCGGGTCACGTGATAGGGACGCGCACCTGCCCAGGTGTGTAGTACGCGCGGTAAAGGCTCTCGTGCTGCACGAGCATGTTCAAAAATAAATATGGATCCATATATGCTTCTGAATATCTGTGTTGTAATATTAAACACAGATCCATGACTCCTGTATATCCGTGTTGTAATATTAAACACAGACCCATGACTCCTGAATATCCGTGTTGTAAAATTAAACACAGACCCATGACTCCTGAATATCTAAGTGTGTTTGTGCAGATGTTACGTAAAAACAAAGTCTCAGGTCGCTTTTTCAGTAGCTGCAATGAACTAAACTTATGGGCGGGACCAGGAGCATATGTGAATAAAGTAAAAAAGAAAAGCTAATCAAAAGGGAGTTTGATATGTTGAGTTTTCTAACAGTAAAATTATCTCAACCCCTTACTAATGTATATATTTTAATTCATTTCATTCAATAATTATGCACAAACATAGTCATAAAAAAACACAAAAGGGACTTGTTCATTACAACCGTAAACTGTGGTTACCTCGTCTGTGTGCATGCTTGGGTTCACACCCCGTGCCCTTAGGATGACGTATTTAATCAGCAAGCAACATCACAAGCTAATTATGCCCTTACCATTCAGTTATGGTTACTATACAGTGAATGTAAAGACGTCCAAATCAGTGTAGATATGAATAAATGAGAACAGAGGCAAGTGTCTCTCGCTATTTTTGTTTGTGAACTAAATAAAACTTAATTACACCAGCTGTAACCTTACTCCTTATAACCACACCTTTGGAGACTTGAAGTAGTATTTTTATTAACAAAATTAATGGATTACACTTATTTGTTACCCAGAAAGATAAGCCATCTCCAAGCCCAGAGATCCCCTTACATGGATATTTTATTATATGTTCTAACTGTTAAATAATTGGCAAGAACACATTATAAGCAGTACTCCAGTAACACAGAGCAACAGGAGTCGTCAAACTCGCCCAGTTAAAATGTTTGAGGTGCCAGCCCTGCATCTGAGCCCCCAAAATGTCATAATGTCATAAATTAGCTAAGGGTCACAAGTAACTAAATTCAGCACTAGTACCACCAAAGTCTACTTAAAGACATTATTATTACATTATTAATACGGTTTAATAAAATAAAATAAAAAAAATAAAAAAACTTTTTAACACTTTTTTCACATGTGGACTTGATGTGACGATGAAAGCTGGTTTTCAGCATCTGCAGGTTGAATGTTTGTTGTTTTTGGTGCCTGGTTCACCCTTTTTGCAACCTGTACATTTTTTTAATTAATTTGTGTTGCTGTATCGGGGCACATGGTACGATTGATGATAAGCACTCTGAGTCACTCTGAATGATGCACGCCATTTTTTTTTAGATTAAAACACATCCTGGATATATTTACAGTTCCCTAAAATGTACCAAGAGGAATAAAGAAAGAAGTGGTTTAATTTTTTTGTGAAATGGGCAAATGTCAATTAGCAGAGAGCCCACCCTGATACCAGAACAGGGAGAAGCTCATCACTCAGCCACCGGGAAACACAATTTCTGTGTCCTAAATGATGGGCGATACCTGGCTGAAATATCCCACCCACTCCCCCATTCAGTGGGCAATGTGAAACATAAATTAGAAAGGAGGGTCTATACCACAAATATCATGATGGCATATTATCAAAATTAAACTGTTTTTAAGGACAAAAATACATACAAATCAATGACCCATTCTGACCATTCACGATTCAAGTGTTACAGTGTTATACAACGTTATACAACAAACAAAATACATGATAATTATAATGAATGGTGATTCCATTGTTAGCAGGCTGACACGTCAGGAGCCTGATGTCCTCAACAGAACATGAAGATAGAATATCAGCACAAACGGTGTCCATTCTCTGTAGCACGACATCTTCTCCACCTTCCAGCAGCCTCTGTCACTTTATATATTTATGTATGTACAGTATGTATCCTGCAGCTATGTAAGAAGTCCATCCATTGGAAGTTCATGGCAACCTAGAAGAAGTATTCTATAAATTTGTCAAAATGAAGCCCAGGAGAAAATGGGGGCCTCAGTTATAAAACATTTCTAAGATGGTAGTGGTTGTAGTGGGGAGCTCTTCAGACCTGGGCTTTGCAGGAGGACACAAGCGTTCCAAAGTCCATAACCCCTTATCTGCAGAAGCAGCCTCCTGAGGTTTTGAGGAGACCATAGATCCACTTTCGTGATTCCATCCGCATGGTCCCATCCTGAGCGGTTCCATAGTCCAGCCCATGATCCTGGGCTCAGGAAATGAGCTGTAGGTAGAACCCTTGAGGTTCTTAAGCCATTGCAGCACCTGGTCATTCATTCAGCCTTACGGCATAGATGGGAATTACAGACAGACAGACTCAGGGGTTCTGCTAGAGATTTTGGGCCCCCAACCCAGACCAATCCAAGTATGTTCCAAATTTTTTATGGTCCTCGGGAGCTCCTGAAATCTCCCTACTTGGAATCATCCTAATTTTTCCTCTCTTTACAGCACCCCGGGACAGGCTGAGCACAACCAGTGAGACCCAGGGTGAATACAAATGGTCAAGTCTTTGGATTGTGTCTTTGTTTTCTTTCATCTATGTTCACCTCCTCTTACATAGGAGGCACCTAAAAACCCCTTCCTTGACCTCCATCTTGAGCTAGGTTTCATTTTCACAGTTTAGGTAAGGAAGCGTTCTGGTGTTGAGGTGATGGAGCATGATGGGAAATCGCAGTGCGCTCACTAGGCCTCATCTCCTTGTTTCCCAGTTGCTCCCCCTTGTTGCCCTGTGTCCTGCAAGGCTGTCCCTCCCATCACGCATCAGAACTCCGCTGCCACTGCGCTCTTCTCTCTTTGAACAAGCTGCATTCAAGAGAATTCAAGGGTTACCCTGGGGCACAGCTTGCCACACTTAAGCCGATAATCGAAGTAATATTGATTGATAATTGAGGAATGAAACACTATGCACTGAATGGCCAGCAGAGGTCAGGAAAGAACATGCAGGGGCTTCCCAGACTAAGCTGATTGTGATCAACACCAGTCAATATGTAAATGTCTTTCTACTGTCTAAATATGTGTGTAGTGCTACTACAAACCAGAATTTTCCTTCAGGATTAATCAAACCAACCAACCAACCTACCTATCTACATACCTATCTATCTAGCTAACTACCTACCGATCTATCTGCTCTTCAATCTCTAGGTCCTTGTGGTCCACCTGTTCACACTCACCTGAGCTCCTCTTTCAGTCTACTCAACTTGTCCTCCAGTCTGTCATTTTTAACTTTGTGTGGGCTGTCCGGGACAAACCAAGCGACGATGAATTTGCAGATGACGACCACGTGCTGTGGAGACAGGGATCCTAGATTAATGAGCCATGTTGGGGGGGGCAGTACACCCCCACACATTTTCTTCTGTCACATGGTTAATTTCTGTGTCCTGTCTAGAACCTTCCCCAAGCGTTCACACAGACATAGCGGAACCAAACCCAACATGACTGTTATATGTGCATACAATAACTGCATAATGCTATGTTACATCAGAGTGTGCCAACTCCAGCCTCACCTCAAAAAGGATGACAAAGGCAAAGCGCACGGCCAGGATAAGCCAAAACTGTGAAGTGAAGCTGTAGTCCTCACTGTTCCTGTAGTCTTTATAACTGGGAACACAAAGCGCATGCATTGTCCAGTACTACAATACCCAGCAGCCCTGGTATTCACTCACATTTACGACAAGCAGGCGATCTGTGATTTAGGAGTACATGGGAAAAAAACTGTAAAACATCATTTAAAAGCTCATGCAGAGCAAACATGTAATATAATGACACTGTTTTCCCCTGTAATTATCTTATGAAATGTGCATTCCTCACTATCTGTGAGTTTCTGAAGCTTGTATGTATAAAATGATAGTAAAATATTTTACGTAGCTTGAGCTTAGTTGTGATGGAACTAATTACTGTTCATTGAAAATAATACATATATTACCATCAATGACACTGAAATGTGCTTAAACACTTCTCTGAAAATAATTGTAATTCCCATAGTCTCCAATAGGGGATGCTAAACATAGTGCAAAAGTGTACAGATAGAGCAATGTGAGGTTGCAGATTTATGTATTGTTCCTACCTGCAATGGGTGACGGAGAGGCCATTATGTGTGATCAGCTGTTTGGGCGTGAAGTCATTGATTACGTTTCGGTCATTCACGCACACTGTGGACAGGGAGTTGTTGATGTATCCACTCATGCAGCTGGAAAGGACAGACAATCAAAGGTGAGGCCTTACACACACCCATCATATCTCCATGGTCCTTAACTCCAGCTGCTCCAGGAGCACTGGATGTTGGCTGACCCCAAAACTTGCTGTCCCTTGTTTATATACAAGTGTCTATCTCTAATGGAGAGCAAGATGGGATGTGTGAAAGCTATATAATTTTCCTGTGACAACAAAGTACAGCTATTCTGTTCTAGTGCAGTCTTACCTGATGTCTGTTACATTCCCATTGGCACACGGACCATATCGGTAGAGGTACACAAGTCGGGGGATGAAGTCAGAAGTTACTCCGATGACGAGTCCATTTGCGATGACTGCCAGAACGCCAATGGCCTCCAGAATAATGGACCAAATGCCTGCAGGCACATCCACATCCCAGTTTGCTGGAACCAAGTGCTCAGCAGATTCTCTCCCACACTCACTCCTCCCTCCACTGACAAACTCACCGATATTGTTGGTCTTCTTAGGCACCAGCCGGCGCTCCAGGCTGACCATCTTAATGGCATCCAGGCGTATCTCAAAGACATTGTTGACAAGAGCCAGGAAGGGCGCCAGCGGGAAGGCCGCAACGAAGATAGTGGTGAAGCTGAACTGGAGAACTGCAGAGGGCCGAGAGGGGAAGCTGACATGGAGAAAGTCAAGATGGAATAGAGGCAGAAAGCAGAGGAGTGAAGGTATCCTGCAGAGGAGGAGAGCAGAGGGGTGAAGGTGACCTGTACCAGAGGCAGAGGACAGAGGGGTGAAGGTGACCTGGACCTAAGGCAGAGAGCAGAGGGGTGAAGGTAACCTGAACCAGAGGCAGAGGGCAGAGGGGTGAAAGTAACCTGAACCAGAGGCAGAGGGCAGAGGGGTGAAGGTAACCTGAACCAGAGGCAGAGAACAGAGGGGTGATAGTGAACATGCAGAGAGCTGAAGCAGAACATGGAGCCCCATAACAAGCAGAAGAAGCTGAATGTGGAAAACTGCCTCCAGACAATGTTGAGAAAACTGAAAGATTACAGTGAACTGCCGGGTCAGCTAATCTTGCATGCCCCCCCCCCCCTCCCTCCGCCCACCTGCCTCATATCAGTCCCTGTCATTCTAACCAAAGCATGAAGAAATTTCACCAAAAGTAGCAGTCACTGCGGTTCTGAAGCTGAAGGGCCAAACTGGTCCTTTCCCCAGGCAGCGCCCCAAAGCCACGGGACGTACTCATCTCCAGGAACTCCTCGAAGAGGCTGAAGGCGTTGACGTCAGTCAGCCGGTAGTTGCGCAGCCAGCTCTGCAGCTTGCAGCTCTCGCAGATCTCCGAGCCCTCCTCCGTCTCCTTGCATTCCTTTTTATAGCAGTGGCCGCACTTCCTCTGCAGCTTCTTGGTCGTCCTCCTCTTCACATACCGCCTCAGCCAGCTGCCGGGAGAGACACCATCAGGGCCCCCGTTTCGGCTGAAAGGCCAGTGCTGGAACCTGCTCTTTGATTTCACCTGAGAACTTCATGCTAACCTGCATTCATGTATGATAACAAGTGATCCTGCAACTTCAGCTGGTGCTGGTTTTGGTTACAGCCGAGATATTTATGAAACATTTTTATTTTCACTGAGATGCGGTTGCAGTGAATCACAAAATTTAAATAATGCTAAACTATATGTTTTAACTTTTGTGGTTGTTTGAATTTTAATGGAGGCAGTGTGTAGCTCAGTGGGCAAAGCTGTGGTGTCTGTCATCAGAAGGTCACTGGTTCAAATCCAGCCTCAGCACATCTCTAGGTCCTGGACCAAGGCCCTTAACCCCCAGTTCCCTGGTCGCTGTCCCTCACTGCTAAGCTTGCTATCACCTACAGAGAGCAAATTGGGGGAGGTGCAAAGAGAATTTCCCCATATCAATACTTCTTCGTAAATTAATCCTCAGTGATAATTAAATGCAGATCTTTCAAGGGGTGAAATAATTTTTTTGAATATCTTTACAATATCAACAATTACCAGCAGCTCATTCAAAGCAAAAATAAATGAATGAAGTAATCAAACAACATTTGGCCTTGTTGTCTATGAGGTGTTAACTATGAGCTGTTATGGGGTTTGTATGATTTTTTGGGTTTTATACCATGGCTTTGGCAAACACTATTTTCTTATTGGTCCAGAGACGTGGGTGTTGATTATTCTTGTTTAAAAACGCAGGTAGTTCCAGCAGCCTAATAACAGTTCTATATCCCTGTGTTTCAATACTTTATTCAATATGTTAATATTAAAACCTGTGTAACTTATACTCATAAATAAGCAGGCATTCTTATCAGCATAATTTTCCTTGGTTTTTGAAACGCATTTGCCTGTCTGATGGTTTCTATGGTAACCTAACGAACTTGCTGCTTCCAGTGAGGAGCCAGACCAGTTCTGTCCTTATAGGGACTATATTTTTAAGAGCACGTTGGAACATTATCAAATGCTAATTATCTGTGGCATAAGCGGGATAAAGCACTTCGAGATGTGTGGTTATACCAAAATAATAAATTCTGCTTTGCTTCTGGCCGTGTTCCTCCACGTTATGGTTGATTATTTTCATATAACTGCACACCTCCTTGTGGTTTCTCCCTTACTTTTTGAGTATCTTCTTTGGAGCACCTTCATTTGTGATTTGTGTTTAATTTAATTGAGTTAAAATAAAACAAAATTAAAACTATATCTACACAACGTCTTTTTGACATCACAGTGACTTAAGGAGCATGGAGAGCAGACTCACGGCCCAGTGAACTCGAAGATGTTGTTCAGCGTCTGCTTCAGCACCATGATGATAGCCATCTGGATGAAGAGGTCCGTCAGGCAGCCGCTGGGATGGCACTGAGGTACACAGGGGACATAGCTGTCACCCACGTGTGGCCTTAACACAGACGCCCCAACATGAAGGGGGAAGCCGCCTTATCGCACACGCCCACCGTGAGGAACATGTGGAAGCAGGGTTAGCCAGTGTCTGAGTTAGCCAGTGAGTTAGCCAGTGGGTTAGCCAGTGTCTGAGTTAAGGGCCTTGCTCAAGGGCCCAGTGGTGAAATCGCTTCACCAGCCCCGAGCTCCACACCATTCTAACACTGACTGCTTACCAACTTCTGTACCTCTTGAACTTTAACATTCCATACATATCTCTAAGCAGAAAAACAGGAAGTGTTCTTTTGCAACTGCAGGCTGACAGCTGAGGCTGATTATTTAACACAGTAAACGGGCCCTACTACATATTACACAGGACATACTCCTTCCTTGAGTCCACAGACTCGGTTTGAGTTCACTGAGCCTACTCACCTCCTCGAGCCTCCACTTCCCTGCGATACGCACGTAGCTTCCAGGACGTCCGTTTATCCTATGGGCGTGAAACAAACACGTCTCACTGCATGAAGAGATCGGTCCAGACGTGACACCAATGAGCCTTTACGGCGGCGGAAGAGCTTTACCGGCCGAGAAAGAAGGCCACGTAGATGAGTGAGGAGAAGAGGGTGAAGAACTGGAAGGTGAACATCTTGACGGTGAAGCTCCGCTCAGTGGCAGCGTATGAGCGTGTTTCCTCTGCAGGGGAGAAGAATTGCAGGTTGGAACAGAAATGGAGACAGTGACAGATCATAAGTTATGAATTACAGTAACCTAAAAGCAAAAAGCTTGTGCACCAATAATGCAACGTATATTCAGAGCCTGGAGGACAATCACTCATTGATCTGAAATAATTATGTACTTTTTGCTCTACACTGAGAATCTGGGTGAATCTCAAAACCAAGAACGCAAAGACCGTACTTGTGGTCTTGGCAAGACCAGTCTTGCTAACTTAACTTCCAAGAACAAACTTGGGTGCAATGAATCATGGGATTGGTCTCATTTGGGGATGATGCAACCAAGGTATCCTTGAAATCTGGGGCGGAGCAAGAGCAACATCTGGGGAATTTTACTATCCTCGGTACTGTACCTGTGCTCTTTGTTTTGGAACTGCTGTTCAGCAATGGAAGATGACGTAAAACGGGTATATGAGAACACAAGTACAGTCAAGTATGCATATTGAGATTCACCCTCTGAAAGCAAAACTGATACCCAAGGGTGAAAGTATGAAAGGAGTGAAAGGTGCTGAATGTGAGATGCACGCTAACAGCCCTCCTCCAGAACTTACCGATCTCACAGAGCTTGAGGGCCACTTTCCTGTTGACCTGTGGAATATTGGGTAGAGGGAAAAAGACTAAGAGCAAGTCCTACAGCACACGCTGGACCGGCCACTGGGGTGGCGATGGTGAGCTCACCCGGGTCATGATGGTGATAGTTAGGTAGTGCAGCACGGCTCCCAGCATGACAGCGACAGTGTTGGCATTGTCGCTCAGGAACTCCCAGCTGCTCTCCGAAAGCTGGACTTGGGCCATCACGCGGAAGACCACCAAGGCTTGGGCCAAGCCGATAATGAGCATCAGCTACGTAGACACAGATAGGACTGCATGTACCCCAAAGGTGTGCGATGGATTATGGCATTGTCTCTGAGACTGGAAGGTCACCCAAGGTCGGGAGAGTGACTGCTGGACACATAAGCGAGGCCCTTAACCCCCAATCGCTCCGGGAACTGTCTAATTGTAGATCTTCCTGAAAAAATGTATGCCGCTTTGGATAAGAGTGCCTGGTAAATAAATTAGCATGAATGTAAATTAAGGAGGAACAGTGTTTCTTCACTGTTCCTCCTTAATTTACATTCAGGCCCTCTTAGGTACACCATGTACAGCACATCATACAGCCTTCAAGGTGACAGTGCATGTCTAGTTTATATAATGTGTGTGTGTGTATATATATATAGACACACACACATACACACACACACAGAGTTTGCAGTGTGAATGGTTTTAATATTTGAATAATGTCTCGTACTTTATAATGAAATGCATTTTAGGTCAACTGCTTCAGTAAAATATATCTGGTTAAATCAAGGTACGACATGCAGAAATATGAAGGGTAAGGTTAATACTGAGCTGTACTGGGTAAACTGATCATTACACTGGGCCCATTCAGAAAGCATGGGCACAGCATCTCGGTTGGAGGACCAGGAACCCACCATGAGTGTGACGAGGATCAGAACCGTGGTGCTGTGCAGGTAGGAGTGCCGGTACCTCTTGGTTTCACAGTTCGGATCATTTATAATCTCCAGAATCAGCTCCTCCTGACAGGGGGACAGGACAGATTAAGAAATCAAGAATTTTTTTTCTCCTTCTGTTTGGGTTTTAGATGGTCAAGAATTTCATCAGACCAACTGTGATAACCACTCTGCTGAATGATTACAGCAGAGCAACTTCTCCAAGAATCACAGTATTTACAGAAATACAGTATACAGCTCTCTATCTCAAAGTTTCGGATGGTAAGAATAATTGGGTCATATCAGAAGTTACCAGTAATTGGTTCCCCTTCACAGTTCTGTGGTTTGTCTCTTTCTTCATGTTTTGAAATTTCAAGTTTATTTTCATAAGTCCTTAGTGCAATGGGAAGCTTACTCATGTACCCCCTGCGGACTGCCAGTTACTCCATTATTTCAATATTACTTTAATAATACTCCAGATATACTCAACATAGACAAAAGGTTGCTTTTCTGACAACTCAAAACTTGTACCTCGTCCTCAGACCAGTCGTACACCTTCCACTTGCTGACATATGTTGCTCGATGCCTCTTCCAAAACTCCAGGAAGACAGTGGCTGGGGAAGGCCATAGATTATTATCAGGGATGCGGGAACATGCTCACTCGCACATCAGCTATGCCAGCAGGATCTACTCATCTTCTCATCACCTGCCCTTGATAAAGCAGCCCGATGATGAACTAGCTATCAAAAAAGTGATTGCAAAGTATAGATAACTGATTTGATGTAAATGTTGTGCACAAGGAAATGCCAAGTTTGAGTTGAAAGACAAATAAATGGTATCACTGGACTAAAAACTGATAAACTACTCACCCCAGATAGCCATGAACATGGCGAAGGCTACCGTCCCCTCATTGTCAAACAGGATGCTCACCTGAGAAGACCACCACAGCATTTCCAGGTGTCATTTCTGACTTGGTGTAATTTGCATATCCCCGCCCCTTGGTCACACCCCCCTGTTTCTGCCTCCCATGTTTGGGAAGGTGTGGCAGTACCTTGGCAAAGGTGCAGGTGTCCGACAGATTCCATACTTTGCACTGACGGTCACACAGTGGGCACATGATGATATCTGCCTCACATACCTCTTTTCTGCACAGAAGCAAATGACAGATAATAAATATGGGAAACTTATGGACTTAAGAGAAATAAGCACTAGTTTATTTTAATGGCAAAAAAAAAAACTCCTTAACTGATGCCTAACTCCTCACTAAGTGGATCTGGTAACAGCTGACCTCTATATTAATTAACTGTCACTGCGTTGGTTGACCATTACGCAACTCAGATCCTTAATGAGTTACATGTTGTTTAGATAAACAGTCTGGGCCAGTCTTGATAAGCTCAAGATGGGAACCACGACAATTATATCACTTCATATCTTGTCTTTATGCAACTACTAAACTGCCAATTCAGTGCTGTTCATGTAACGTTATGTGACAGGAGTGTGAGAGGTGTAGAAGGGAAGGATGGCGATTAACTCGCAAGAAGATAACATTTCAATTAATTCAAATATACTAATTCTACTGGTGCCTGTAGCGATGAAGTATTTTTATTAAAGCAGTGTTCTTATCCTCCGTCCACTATGACAGCTACACTATATGTAAAGGAATAAAGATTATTTTGTTCTTCATCCAAACATTTTTAAATATATTTTTAAAATTTTTTTTAAATATTTTTTTTCCTCTGGAAACTAGATTTTTTTTAATACAATCACTTTAATATGATTTATGGGAAATTCCAGTCTTATGGATGTGACATTTAAACAATTAGATTTCCATGAATAGGAAAAGCGAGTAATGAAAATGGATGGGTTTAGACTATAGGCAAACAAAATGTCTCTGAGCATGGACAAGATTAATATCAGTCAATTTTCATATCTAGGTTTAATATAGTCAAGTCCTCAAAAGCCATATATTAATTTACATGTTAGAAATACATAACATTTTATCACCGTTATTGATGTGACATTAAACAGACCTTTGCATTATATTGACCAGGTTATAATGAATGTTTATCAATATGTCCAAGTGGGCGTTCCCCAAAGACCCCTGTCTGAAACTCATTTCCACGTGATGCCATCAATATGCCAACACAGAGGAGATATTAAAGTGCACCATGTACTGAAAGCAGATGCAGAGAAAAAAGTACATCAGCAGCACTGGTGGCAGGAAGGAACCGTGAAGCTTACATGTGGTATCAAGATCAGGAAAAGGAGGTTTGAGTTTCCTTTACCGCGGTGATATTGACTTGCTCTCAGCCATACGGGATACAAGCAAAACACTCACATGAGCGGGCTGGTGTTGAAGAACGCCAAACCGTAGAGAAAGACAACAATCCCCAAGATGGCCGCTGGAATCAGCAGGTAGGTGTACCAGCCGAGCCACAGGTAGTACAGGGCAACCTTCTCCCCAAAGTAGCTCCTGAGAGTCACACACACACACACCAAACAGGAGGCAAAGGGTTGATGTGACAGTGCTCCACCACATCCTATACATAACACTTGAGTTATGATCAGGACCTTTCTGACACATAAACACTGCAAAATCAATACAGACTGTCATTTCAAGTCATGATAGTACAGAAGCTCGTGTACGATCCTTGTGTTATTTGTGAACTTGGGTTTCTATCGAGGTTGAAAGGCTCCAGCCTACAACATGTGATACCGTGACTCGCTACAAGAACTTGTCTAGGAACCCAACTTGATGGTCATAAGGGTCTAAGTGACTTTCAATGGGGTCTTACCTCACTTCAGTAATGGGTTGTCTCTGGAAACAAGCAGACCACCGTGCCCAAATTTGTGTCAGCTCTTTCTGCTTCTTTTTCTGCAGGACAATGCAGTGACCGTGAGGTGAGGTTCATGCATTTAAGCACATGTCTGTAAGGCACCAAAGAGTAAAGACCAGCTCCAAGTGTTTACATGGAGAGTGACAGGCTGTAGCAGGTATGCAGCGCCTTGAAACACCCTACATGAGAAGCTGCTGCTACCAAAGCAATGGAATGTTCTGCTTCTCCAGGGTGTGTCCATGTGACGGCGGAGGAGGGCTTTTCTTAGAAACCACACAAAGTGAGCTCCGGGCGTGAAAGCAGGGGAATACCAGACGAACCAATGCATGGTATCCATTTGCGTCCTAATTTTAACCTTTTGAACCTTTTCAAGCCTTTTCCAAGAATGTTCTCTGAGGACGCGTTAAATAAACTTTTTCATCTACCAAACAACACGTCCAAAGAACTGTTCAACCAGATTTTTTATCTCAGATCTGCTTTTAGACATATTCATTAGAAATGGCATTTTATGTGGCTAGCATAACTTGGGCATATGTTTTAGGTGTTTATTAAAATAAACTTTGCGGTTAACATAGTTTCTCTCAGTTATAGTGGTGTGCGACATTGGAATTAGTTGCTTAAGTGTTGGCTACCAAAACAAAATGAGCCTGATAACAATTGACAATGAGCAGTTTACAAAGACAAAGCTTCCTGGATGGTTTGCGTGTATGTCTCTTAGAACACTCCTCTTAAGTGTCCATAAAGTAGATCTTTACATATTTGTATATCTATTTCTTCTATTGTTTTTCATCTAGAACCCATCGGCGAATACAACTGGGCTTTTCATTCTGTTTGGTGTGACGAGGTTTTCCAAGGTGCTCTGCCTGGGCATGCAAAACAAGGATTAACCTCGGATTTGTATCACTGACACTCTTACTGGGCAAGTCTTTGCAGCCAGTCATTGTCTGCTGTCTGAATTTGAATTAGCGTTATCGTCATGGCTCAATCCCACGGCCTGCTTGAAGCAGATGCATGTTACTCAAGCCATGGAGGTTGGACCAGTGCTGCCATGGCGACGCCGCTGCCATGACGATGCCCACAGTATGTAACCACCGAGAGCAAAGAGGAACAGAAAAGCAGCCAGATGACAAGAAGAGAGTAGCATGTGAGATTTACTCAGTGAATGTACCTCGTGCAGACAGAATTTGGTCTCAAACACATTTTTCTTGATGAGTTGGTCAAGATTCTCTTCTGCAGAGAAAGAGCACAAAAGACACACATATTTGCAGGGTGGGTGGGATACTAGGGCTAGGGGTGTTTTGCACAAAGCTGACACACAAAAAGCCCTCACCTTCAGAGTTTACTTTTATGTATGTGTGATCCAGGATGAAGTGAACGATCCTTATCCTAGAAGGCAAAGAGAGATAGGGGGATGCCTTCGGTTGTAAGACATGCCTGCCTGAGGGTGGCGCCACTGAGGAGCACGAGCAGGAACGGCCAGGCTCAAACTACCTGGTGGACAGGATGACCTCTCTTTGCTGCTCGCAGCTCCAGTTGCAGGCATCGGACACCTTCAGCAGGTACCTGTACTTCTCGAACATCTCGTTCGGGGCGCGGATCCCATAAAACACCTTTTGCTCGTCCACGATTTCCTGACAAACAAAGGCAGTTATTTATAGCGTAAAGGAAGCCTCAATGTCCTGTTCCTACTACCTTTCACATTATGAAATAGAATTCCTTATTTGTGACATGACTGAAAGCAAATAAATCCCAGATTAAAGTGACGTGAGCTGGACTGAAAAGGGCTCAAATTTGAATGCATTTTAAAATCAAACAGCAACATCCCCCACCCACTTAATCTGAATGCTTCTTCTGCGGTGTGACTCTGGGTGCATTCAGAGTGTAGCTTTACTTTGCCACAGCTTCTGATACTTGGGCGCAGTTTGCATGACGAACGGAACCATTGCAACTCACCATCACCTTAATGTCCTTCTGCTTCAAAGCAGCTATGAAATCCTTCTGCTTTGCGCGTATCTCACTGTTCGGGTCCTCAATGTTCTTGCCAACCAGAACATAGTCGTACGACGGTGGGTTGCGCTGTGGAGAGAGGAGAAGGGATTCAGGTACCTGTGAGCCATGCAAAGTCAGGAGAACCTGTACAGATTATGCAGTTTTATAAAGTGTGACATTGGCTGGAAGGGGCGAGGTGGTGTGTAGATCAGTGGGTTAGGACACTGTGTCTGTGATCAGAAAGTAACTGGTCCAAATCCATCGGTCAGCAGAAGGAGAATATACTGTGTAATATGTAGTAAGTCTGTATACTGTGTAAAATAACAGGCCTCGGCTGTCAACCTGCAATAACTAATGAACACTTCCTGTTTTAGGGTTAGAGATATGCATGGAATGTTAAAGTTTAAGAGGTGCAGACATTTGTAAGCAGACTAACATTGCTAAGGTGGTGTGGTGCTCAGAGGATTAGGGTCTTGTGTCTGCAATCAGAAGGTTGCTGGTTCAAATCCTGGTTCAGATTTCACTATTGGGTCCCTGAGCAATGCCCTTAACTCCAAATTGTTCCAGGGACTGTCTGACGCTGCTTCCTCAGTAAATGGATGTTACTTTGGATAAAAATTCATCTGCTAAACAAATGTAAATACGCTGTCTTAGCTTGGGCAGAGGTGTTGATTTGCATGCAGATGATGTGTGTGTCGTTACCACTGGGGGCAGCAGCGGGGTCTCGCTGCCATTCTCAGCAGGCATGCCGCTCAGCTCGATGCAGGCCTGCTGTGGCTGGGAGTAGCGGTCATCTTCTCGCCATGGACGAAGAAGGGGATCAGCACCAATGGTGCCCCCATGAGGTAGACCACATCCACATGCCTCATGGCTAGTTTCCTGAATCTGAAATCAGATCATCGGCAATTGCTCTAAGGCAGTGTTTCCCAGCCCAGTCCTTGGAAGCTAGAGGGGGCACAGAGGAGCACAGGCAGTCCACGTTTTTGCTCGGGAGCTAGTAGGAAGCAAAAACGTCTGCAAGTCCCCAAGGACCGGATTGGGAAACACTGCTCTAAGGGCTCTGTATTCATGGAGGACAGAGTCCTCACCCTCAGCATCTTTCATCCATTTCTTCAAATGTTGCCTGAGGATGCATTCAAGATATCTGTTTGTTTGGGAATTCTTCAACACACATTCTCAAGGGCCTACTGCATTGCTGAACACTGCTGCATTAACCCTATACTAGAGGTTGGTAGACATGTTGGTGTGAGGGAGGACAGAAACATTCAGGTGGAGGAAGTTCAACAACAAAGTGAAGACACTAAAGGTTCAGTAAAGTACACTAATGGCTCAATGAAGTTCTAAGCCATTTATCTGGATGTTATAATGATTTATATATATGGTTAATTTGTAATATCATATTGTTGCCACGTTGAAAAATAAGACCTACTGGTTATATACAAAAACTTAACAGACAGGAATTTTTGGTTACCTGATCACCTGCGGAAGCTTCCGGATTCCAGAGATATTCCTAGAATTTCAAAGGAATTCTATAACTGAGTATCGGCCAAGAGAAAACTACCGGTCCAGTAACCCCTATAAACCTGAGCGAGCCATAGTGCTCGGGCCTGACATTCCTGTGGATGGGACGGGTCCTTTTCATGCCAACACGGCACACACGGGCACACAAAGTCACCTTTGTCGCTGTGTTTCTCTTGGTACTTAATTTGATAATCAGATGCCTTTCTCTAAGGTCACATGTCTGCCATTTACATGTAGCCCACACACCCACAAAGGCAGCTGGATGGTAAGAGAAGCAGCCTGCCTGCCTCTCATTTATAGGTTTCTGTCATATAACATGTCTGGGAGCATTATCAAGCAAGCCCAGCCTTGAATGAATCAGAAAACCAGGGCTACTGCTTACTTTATTTCAAAATATTCTCATGTCTTCATTAAACACCACTATGTCCTTCTGCACGTTTAAAGACAAACTTCGTTGAACTACAGTGTTGAACAGAATCAGTCCGAATTCACCAGGTTCTGTGGTGGCTCTTCCCCAAAGCCCTAGTCTAGAGATTTCAGATACATACCCTAGGACTGGGCAATTAGTCGAATTTTCATTTAAATTATGATTTTGAATTCCAATGATTATCAAAATTAAATCTAGATAAAATGATTATTGTGCCACACTTTGTTTCGCAATGATGCCCCTGTTTAGTCTTGTGTTATAAATCCATTGTTATGTTGGAAATCCATTGTTAAAAAGACAAGCTTCAATAAAGGCATATTTCCAAAGTCCATGAGTAATTGTGTTAAATAATCATGACCTCAGCATTGACCAAAAGTAGGGATGGGGTGACATTTTTTCAGTTCCACTCCAATTCCGATACACAACTGCCAATACCGTTTCCAATACAATTTCAATATGACAAAAAAATCATTAAATATGGCTACTAGAAACATACATAATGTCCTGTTCCACCTCGTTTGTTCATCGTTTTAAGTGTTTTTGAAGCGTTTGCAGTTCAATTTGAAAATCTTGCAAGTGAGGATACGCAAATGGCGAAGGCTTAAAATGCCCCACAATCTTTCTCCCGCTGCCAACACTTACACTTCACCGCGATCGCAGCCCCTCATGCATCACAAGCTGCAGTGAGCGTGCAAATCAGCCCAAGCTTGCGACCCCCAAATCCCCCACTGCTTTTCTCATATTACTCACGTCGTCTCGCACAACTACGTACGCTTTGTTTAGTGGGATTTTCCCCTAAACGCTACTCCCATCTCTCAAAACTTTGTTTTCACAAAGATTGCAAATTGCTGTGCTACTAGTTGCTGTTAAAAGCATAAAATACTCCCAGATGCATTTTCTGAAACCGCTTGTCCTATTCAGGGTTGCAGGGGGTCCGCAGCCTATCCCAGAGGCTACAGGCACAAGGCGGGGAACAACCCAGGATGGGGGGGGGGGGGAATCCATCGCAGGGCACACTCACACACCAGTCACACCTACAGGCAATTTGGTGACTCCAATGAGTCACAAAATGTTTATGGACTGTGGGGAGGAAACCAGAGTACCCAGAGGAAACCCCATGATGACAACATGCAAACTCCATGGATCCCTGGTTCTATAGGTGTGAGGGAATAGTGCTAACCACTGCACCGTCACCCTTTCAGCTGACGTTCTTACACTCCTAGTACTGCGAAGGGTATGCACGTGACATCACAGCAGGTGAAACTCACTGTGCTCACACCCACTGAGTGGCAAAAAGACTGAGTGGCAGTGTTAGCGTTCAGCTTGAATGCCGCAAAGACACATCTGAAATGGGAAAGAGCTGTGGTGCGATTGATTGCACAGATAGATTTAACACGAAATAGGTGCTATCTTTTATAGAGACTGCCAAAACCTAAATAGTATCAAATAGTAGTAAATAAGTATCAAACGTGGATCGGTCACGTATGGCTGATAGCCGATCTGTTTAATAGGTCTGGATCAGTGGCGATACCGATTCGAATATCAGATCGGTGCATCTCTAACCAAAAGAATAGTGATTATGATTTTTACTATAATTGAGCAGCCCTAACATACTCCTCTCTCCACACCTGTAATTCCTATGCATTCCAATTTTACTTCATCTATGGGCATAAACGTCAACTGAGCAGCAGTGAAAACAGTGTGATGGATGGTTAAAGAATTCTGTATGGGGCGTGGACGGGCACTGGGGAGGTGTGATGGTCACCTAGTAATAAATACTAACCTAGTAATAAATACTAACCTAGTAATAAATTTCATGGTTGATTTGGTCTTCTGTATTGGTTGGTTTCACCAACCTTGGTACATTTCACTATTGGGGGGGGCTGCAAGCCAGTGTGGGGGGGAAGGTGGTTCAAATTTCTAATTTTTGTAACTGGCTGCATATCTGATCGGTAGCAAACAAACTATTTTTTTTGTGGGGGGAGGAGGGGTGGTTCAAACCCTTAACTTTACTATGTATCTACATGCTATGTGTCAGGTGGCAATGATACAACTTGTCAATCAGGGAGGGTGGTCACAATAATAAAAGCTGTTGACTGGAGGCCCCCCCCGCAGAATATGTCTGTCTTGCCCATGTCAAGATCCAGCTCTGGGTAAAGTCAGCTACAGCACACTCAGCACACAGGGGGGCCTGTCTGGGATGTGTGTTTAACGGTGGAAGCTGTGCACTGACATCTGGTGCCTGAGGGATCAGGACGGTGAGGTTCGGATCACGCCGCCCTGCTATTCTGGAGCAGCCATCGCTGATTATCGCCACCTGGGGCTGCTGCTTCCATTCACCAACAGATCACAGCCAAGGTTAAGTCATTTAGCTCAAGCTGTAGGTCAGTGTTCCTTGCGTTTGCAATCTCCTGACTTCTATTTTGTTCATGTAATAAACCCACCATAGACCTCATCCTAACATCTCTTTGCTCCCTAAACTTGCTCCCAGGACCTGTGTAATAAATGAAGTTCAAAGACCAATTTATATGCCAAGGGTGGTTATGCCGCTAATTTGAATACCATGATGCAGTGCTGGAGATGGCTACACCCCCTTTTGGGGTTAGCAGTTTACTGCTGGCTATATGCCCATCAGTCCTTTGTGACGGCTGGGGAGAGAAGATACAGTGTCACTACCCGCGAGGGGCACGGAGGGGTGGTGACATGCTGTGGCATGATGTTCTCGCTGAAAATTGTCACTACATTGTAATGCCTTGTGTGGCATTTAATTAATTTATGCCAACCTGTGACTATGACCAAACAGCTTGCTTTGTGTGACATTTTCATTCTCTCTGAACTGCCCATCACTGTGTGGGGTTTTGTGTCATGTGTGCTCTGTGACAGGTCGGCTCTCCCGTCCAAGATGTCCCCTGTTAGACAGCTAATCCCACCTGGCACTTTTACCAAAGTTAGCAGCCCTGAGTCCCTGCTAGCTTGTCAAGTGTGAGCCAGATTGTTCTAGAACGCAACAGCAAAATTCCCGCATGGTTGAATGGGGACCTGCAGTCGGGCATCTTACCAGAAGCATGATATTGTCCGTATTGTTCCGTTTCCTGTTCCTATTGTTCCAACCTGTTCCTAGTTGAGTACGTAGATCAGACAAAGCCAGACAGGCAGCATGCAGTGTGTGATTTGTTTACTTTTGTTTTCCTTTCATGACATCCTCCCTGAAATAAACCTCAGATCTGATGGTATCATCTGGCTATCATGAAGCCTTTGAGATTTTTACCCCGGACATAAATCACACAGCAATGATCATACATAGAGGACCAAAGGTCATAGTATTACTATATGATGGTAAGATAGTACAATCTCATTAGTCCACCTTATTCACGCCTATCCTTAAAGGAAGGTAAACAAATATAAATGTTGTCAGGTACCTGGAGAGGCTGTCAGATTTACTGCTCAGATCAGACGCATCAAGGGTAAGGTAACAAATGTGCTTGTGACACATAAAACCATTAGCATTGCAGATTTCAATGACATGATCATTTTTAATATTCAGTGATGTGTTTTGTTGAAGACTGTAGGATTTCACACATGCTGTTCCAAGCCCAACCAGAAGAAGCAGTTTGAAGATGGATGGAGAAATGGATGTTCAAACTGTAGAAACGAGTCCCTACCAAGCTGAACTTGGGACAGACAGAGAGACAGGCAGGGCTGTGGTGAGGCTGTAGCCTATCCCAGTGAGGACAGTGTTGGGTACCCCCTGGATGGGATACCAGTCCATCACTAGGCACGAGACCAGGTACACCCTGGATGGGATTCCAGTCCATCACTGGGCACGAGACCAGGCACACCCTGGACGGGATGCCAGTCCATCACAGGGCACAGGGCTGGGTACACCCTGGATGGGATACCAGTCCATCACTGGGCATGAGACCAGGTACATCCTGGACGGGATGCCAGTCCATCACAGGGCATAGAGTTGGGTACACCCTGGATGGGATGCCAGTCCATCACAGGGCTGGGTACACCCTGGATGGGATGCCAGTCTATCACTGGTCAAACACTCATACTATGGTAAACCTAGAATGCATCTTACTACTCGGGCATGGGCTGCTTCCACTGCAAGCGACAAACCAGCTTGTAATTAATGATTATTTTTTTAATTCTGAGTCACCCCTGATTTATGAGCAGCCATTGTACATTTGATATTATGCGGGTCTTCTAGTACGGTCATCTGTGGTGTCATCTTTCACATTACATTTAATTAAAATAATTATTTTATTAATTGTGAAAAATATAAGGTGGGCTCGCGGAAATACTTACATAAGCGATTAATTTTAAAATCCAAATGAAATGTGGAGATTAGTATTTTAGTCTTTGAAAGCAACAGTGTTGTTTCTGGGATAATGTCCCAGTTTCCATTTGTGTAGCAGAACCCACAAATAAGTGAAAAAAAATACAATGTAACCAAGCATCGCCCATTAAGCGCCCTCGGGCTCCTGTAAACCGGCAGCGCTTCGGGACTAACCCGAAATGCGGCGTTTTAATCGCGCCACTGTTTTTTTCTACCGTGATTCAGCCTCCAATAAAAGTTCTTAGTCAACAGCCTGCGCTTAAAAACTAATCGCACAAATAACTATCTTCAGCCTCTGAAACAGACAACGCAGATTTAAAAAAAGATATTTCAACTCTTTTATTTCCCTTACCTGCTTCTTGAAAAACATGCCGGTGAAGAAATGACAATCATTCCACTTCAGAGAGAAATGAAAGTAGACTGTCCTCTTAAATCCGCCTTATTCCTTCTTTGCCATTTGTAGTGGAGTTTTCGAGGACAGCACTTTCATGCGCTTTTTCTCCTAGTTGCGAGTGAGCAGTGAGCGGCTTCCGCGTCCGGCTCCGCGCAGGCAGGTATGAACGCGGAGGCGCAGCGCAAATATGCGGCAGCGGCGAATTGCCGCTATGAGCCGCCGGCTGTTTCGCTGCTCAGAGCCGATCGAGTCAATGAAATAAATCGCCTGACCGAAACCGAAAGCCCGGCGTGACACTGCCGCATCGGCTTACGAAAAGCGGTTTGCGGGTTGTGAAACGTCTGGTTACACCATGGAACAGAAGAACTATCACATGCGTTACTGTGTGAGAGCTTCTTACACTGTCCACGTTATTACCCTGGGACATCTCTGCGACTCTTTACTCTTCATTTGAACAAAGTATTATGTTGAAAATCAGTGCTTTAAACACTCAAATAATTCTGCTTTCAATTACGCTTAGCTTTAAAAAAAAGTAATACGAAACGTTTGTATTTTGCTATATGTGCTATTATACTATATGTACTGATTTGTACGTGGAAGGTATTTGAAAAAAAACAATTCCTTTCCTATTTTTTTTCAGAACTTCAGTGTTACACATTAATGTCGTTTTCTTTTTACAACATTACACTGTGCAGTGAAGATGCAGTGCGAGAGTTTTGTCTGACGTTCATGCAGCCACTTGCCTGCTCGTTTATAAGCCAATAACCTCGGGAAAGGGAGTTCCTGGACCAGTAATGTGGTTGTTATCAGCTCCAGCCAGAACATCAGCAACAGATAGAGGCTCAATTCCAACAAGCGACTCCAACATTAACAGCGACACACGAGTACTTACAGTAGTGACTTACTAGAGCTGGATGAACCCAACAAATACTTCAATTATTAGTCACTCAATTGTAGGAAACATAGTATGCACACAACACATTAAGGTATGTTGTTATCCAGGTGCTACAGTAAAAGTGCAATCAGTTAGCTACTGTATGTTAACTAAGGCCAGAAGCTATGATTGTCCAATAAGGGTTTAGGTAGGGAGCACTCCAAATGGACATTCATGAATTCTTAAATTAACCCAGCTAACAGAGAAATCTTGCTTTGTGGAACTTGTAGTCCCTTTTGTCAGGTTCTGCGCCCATCTGACCCTGCCCTTCATGTCTCTTCCCCCTTTGGCCAGCAGGTGTTGTTGGCCATCGTGTTCCCTCCTCTGTCTTTGTGCTGGAACCTTGTGTGTTTTCCCTGTTCCCTGGATGGCCGCATGGCTCCATAACTTGTGCGTATGGCACAGAAGCTGTAACATCCCTGTCATGGGTTTCAGGATGGTTGCAAACCAACATCATCTCTTTAATTTATTTGCTTTTCTGTTTCCCAGTGTTTTGTTAAATTCTCTTACTTTTTCTGTTCTAGGTTTGCCCTGTTTGATTCTGGTTTTGCTTATATATGTTCCTATTCTTCCCTAGTGTTGTTAATGTTTCTTTGGTTCCCTTGTTCCAGGTCTTGTTATTTCACCTGTGTCTTGTTCTATGGCTTTGTTGATTAGTTGTTCAAACCTGCTCTTTGTTAGTCTTCATCAGTGTATTACAGTAAGTGCCTACCTTTGCTCATTTCCCGAGTCAGTCACTGTGCTTTGTTACTGTGTGTTATGCTGTTGGTTTCTCCTAGTTCTGATTCTGCTGTCTCCCTTTGTATGTTGGCTTATTTGTTTTCTTTTAATTTTTTTCCCCTCTCTAGTTTAGTTCTGACCCACATCTTGTGGTGTCCCTTTGTGTTCTGTATTGTCTAATAAGCCCCTTTAGTCTCTGAACTGCAAGTCGATCGTCCACCTTCTTCTTGCCTGCGCCATACCACGTGTCCGTAACACCCTTTCTTTTGTGTGTGTGTGTGTATATATATATATATATATATATATATATACACACACATATATATATATATAACATACATGCAAATGGTCAAATGGTTTTGTACAATTCTCATCATTTGGTACAATTTCCAGTTGCTTTAGTCTAGCTGGTAAAAATAGATTGTCATTTCCCATTGTATTAATTTCACACCTGAGACAATATATGTATGTGATCATCGGGTTATCCACCACATGCAAAACAATTAACCAAGCTTTCAAAATGATTTAAAATATTTTATATAAATCGGAATGATACACTATTGCTGTATTTTTGGTTTCCACGGTGTATGATAATGTTATAATTTAGTTCTTGCGTTGCCATTTTGCAGATTTTGTGTTATATGGTGCTGTGTGACTTTTTTGTTTGCTGTTGTACTGTCTTGTGTTTGTACTGTATCTGGAGAAAGTACATGTGCATGCAACTGCTTTCTCATTCCAGTGAACTTTCCAGCCTTGCAATGCTGAAACTGGTGTTTTTGACATGAATTAGTATCAGTTTGCTAATGAAATATGATCAGTCAGTGACAATAGAAAAGTGGGACCCAGCTATCATTCAGAATTTTGGAGCTCAGGAGCAGACTGACACTGACAATATATCTAAGCATTTTGACTCATGGTTAAAACGATGCTTACTGTACTTTTCATTTTGGTGGCACTAATTCATTAGTAGAATTATTTGCTTTTGGAGACACGAGTTAGTTGTTTTGGGTAAATTACAGGCTTTTGCAGCTAAACCACAGTGTTGTGCTACAGGCATGAACTGTTTCGAGAAAAACAGTCTCGAGAATGTTAAGCATGTTTCATGAAAGGTGCCAAAGCAATAGAGGAAAAACCGTACAATGGGACACAAGTGACACTGTCATGTCTATGTGGGCGCCAGCCTATTTGGGAATTAGATCTAGAATTCTTATAGGACTTATTATTGGCTAGGGCATGCATGTTTGTCTGGTTAAGTGCACTGTTGAAATCTTTCTGGAATTTGGCTTTGTTTTTAAAACCTTAATGCAACTGTGGTGATCTTTGGATAAGGTTAGTTACTGTATGATCCCTGCATCTTTGAGTTTTATGTAGGTGTGATACTATGCGAGTGAGTTCACAGCTAATGCAAGATAAAGTAAACCTTATCAGAAGTCAAACGGTAGGGTAACATCTTGTGGAACTTAAACTGCAAGATTATAGCTTCTTTAGGTCTTTTTCCAGCTTAAGCGGAGGTAGTGAAATTTGAACACATATAAATAACTGGCGATTAAGATCGGATTAACATTGTCACTTTGGACGACAGTCTTCTGGATCAATCTAGTTAAAAATATTTGGTGCTTTACCTGGGGAAAATGCATTTGAGTATCAGTGTCCTTGTGAATTAGAGCTTCTTCCTGTTTCGTTGTGTAACTGCTACAGCTTTTGTTAATTAAGTCACCGATGAACTACTTGTTTGTGACTGAGAGATTGATTATTAGTGATTAGATTCTTCCTCATTCTAGTGACATTTTCTCATGCCGTAAAATCAGATAAAAGAAGTGGTTCAGCAGGTGCTCAGATGTAAACTGATCATGTTACAGTTCTGTTTACCTGAAAAAGCCTTAACGCCAGGGCTGCATGATATCAGATCTCGATATCCTCACGATTGTATGGCGCATGCGCAATAATCACCAGGGCTTTAGATGATGGGCATAAACATTTGTCTGGATGCTGGCTTTCCGGTACTGTACAGATGTTTATTTACGCCCACAATTAGGTAAACAGATTAGTAGTGCACCTAACATATCAATGAGATTCGTATTGTGACGTCCGTAAATTAGTAATCTGTATAAATTAAATGTATCCCTATGTTTAACAAACATGTCGGACTTTAAATTGAAACTTAACGTACCGTCACACTGCCGACGTCTTTTTTTACCTTGTTTATCCACAATATCTCCTCTTTTAAAAGATGTAGCTGTTGAGGTTTCTTTTTTCATCGCCACAACCAAATTCACACTTATCTAAATCGCTTCCATGCCCTACCAAAACAGTATGGCGTGCTCCATTAGCCGAATTTGATAAACTTTTGAATACATCGAATTTATAGCTATTACTAACTTAGGGGCATCACAATATGTCAAATGTTTCCTAAGCCTTTGTGATTATTGCGCATTCACCATACAATCGCGATGATATCTTCAAGCAAGAGCATTAACTCCGCAACAATTTGTGGTACATTAGCTCTCCTGTGGGACTGGACCAGATGGGCTAGCCATGTGCATCAATGAGCCTTGGGTGGCCGGTTCTCCAGTTGGCCTTCCACTGCATATCAGGAACACCACACAAGACCTGCTGTTTTGGAGATGCTATGACTGAGTCGTCTAGCCATCACAATTGGGCCCTTGTAAAGTCCTTCAGATCCTTACGTTTACCAATTTTTTCTTCTTCCAACACTTCAGCTTCAAGAACTGACTATTCACTTGCCTAATATTTACTGGCAGCCTTGACAAGTGCCATTGTGATGAGATCAATGTTACTCACTTCTCCTGTCAGTGGTTTTAACGTTATGGCCGATCAGTGTATGTTTGTAGTAGGTAACATTTGATCTCTTGATGGTTGGTACGGATTACTTTATATTGTTAATTTTATCAACATTGATAGTTTGAGGCATAACTAACATCATTGGTAATTGTGAATATGAGATTAGTTAGTATCTTGTTGACATATTTGCTTTGCTGACAACAATCCATGTAACTCCTTTTAAAACATTAAACCGTTCACTAAAGAGTTTCTGTTTGTGGTGCTAAGAGGGTTTATCCTGCAAAATAATTTCTGAGAAATTATTTTGACTTTTCTTTTTTCCTTTGGAGATGTACGTTATTCATCGGGCAGTGACAATATTAAGGTTGATAAAATCAAATTGTATATGAATTGTGTGTGAATGTGTAATCATTTATTGTTATTGTTTTTACAAATTTATCTGGATCAGGCACTTGTGGTGGGGGGGGGGGGGGGGGGGTTAGGGTATGGGACTGAACACCTGCCCAGACGACTGAAAGTGCCCCGCTTTTGAGGTGCTCACGTTGCACCCCCTGGCTGAGAAGCCTACAACTACCTATGCTAGCCAGTGTCACAAAGTCATAATGTGGTGATTTATTTGCCATGATCTAAGACAGTGAGCAGGATCGACAAGTGATTTTCTGTCACACGAAGACTGGAATAGGGCTTAGACAGCTAGACTCAGCAACCGTACAGACATATGGCAAAATCAGGGCTAAAGGGACACCAGGAGAGTGTAATTGATAGAATACAGGAGACTCCAAGGTACTGAACGCTGGATATGAGACGGGACATCGATCACAGAGGAGGGCCAGGAGGGCGGATGTCAGTGCTGGGACTGGAATACGTACTGCAGTGAGGAGCTGACAAACTTATACCTGCAACAACAGAAAGCTGCACGCATCCATGACCAGATAACCTCTACATAATGCTTAATTCACCAACAAGAAAGAATATT